ATGGCTCTGGACATTGTTTATTTTTGTAATGGTCTCTGAGTGTTTGCAAGGTTGATACATTTAAACTATATATACTTTTCTGTAGTTTAATGTAAAACAATGCGTAGTGTTGCTGTCCTGTGAGGGAAAAAGTAGGCTATACTTCACATTTGTACGTGAATACTTAACGAAGTGTAGTTCCTTACATTCCACCACTGTTTATTTTGAAAATTAAAGTAACAAAATGTAGGTCTATTGTCACAATATTAACAAATTGTTGCTAACTACAGCTGTGTCCCACATCAAAGTGCGCATCTGAAGCCCTCGGACCGGTCTAGCCACGGAGGATTGTTCTTGTCACCTAGCAACTGTGACTGACAGCTGCCGATGACGAGCGGGAGTAACATTGCACTGGACTTTTTTATATTCAACTGGTTTTAAATATTCAAATAGGGTTGAAAACCTGTTTAAATATATTCACCATGGTCCATTTCTGTACATAATAAAAAGAATACACTAGCCTACAAAATCGCATCAAGGTAGCCTACGATATAAGTGAACATTTGAATACATATATACGTATATATATGTGTGTGTGCCTATGTATGTTTTCTTTTCTTTTCATATTTCATTACATTATTTACGTAAGTTAACACCCAATACTTGAACAGTTTAAAGTGTAATCCGGCCATTCAGGACCAAGCGGCAACTTCGCTGTCTCTCTCTTGACATTCAAGGCCAATAAGGGCCCCAGCGTTCTGCAGATAATTATACTGCTGGACTGGCAGGACGACCCGGACCACTACACCATGGTCTTGAAGCGCCCTTTGCCTTGCATGAACATGTTTAGGTTCATGAAGCTCCAAGGAGGAAGTCTCGATGAGGGGACAGCACGGCAGGTTATGCAGCAGGTCATACACGCTGCTAACATTTCCTGTGAGCGTGGCGTCTTCCAATAAGATATAAAACTGGAGAACCTGCTGATAAATCAAAACACTTTGGAAGTCAAATTGATTGACTTCGTGTGCGGTGCTCTTCCAACTCATAACGGCACGCGCTCAGTGCAGCCTGACAAACACACGCAGATACAATCATACAAACTACATGAAGGACACGTACAAACGTCCACCATTTTATTTCTGTCTTCAGTCAACTTTACGTCTGGCGGATTGACACGAGTGGCCTTTCCATCCTAAGGAATTTTTTTATTACATCTGACTGATACAGGACACAGTCAGTCAGGATGGGCACCTCCACTCTGTCACTCAGCATAGGAGCTCCACAAGGCTGTGTTGAGCCCTTTGCTCTACTCTCTATACACATATGATGGCTTAACAGCCCTCAACACCAATGCCATTATCAGATTATTAGTGTCAGCGTGGGTTTCCTCCGGGTACTCCGGTTTCCCCCACAGTCCAAAGACATGAAGGCTAGGTGAATTGGAGAGTCAACTACTATGTCCTAACATTTAAATTAATCATTAGATACAATGCACTTATTGTGTAAATACGTGTTTTTACATACTTATATTTTAAAAATACCTTTATAAGAAAATGTATAATTTATTTGTAAGAATATTTGAAACAAAATCTATAAGAAAATAATAATTTTATATAAGAACATTTTTAAGATAAATTAGAATTTATTTGTAAGAAATTTAGTGAGAATTTATATTTTATAAGAAAAGTGTATAATAAAATAAAAACTTTTATTACATTTATATTGCATATTGTTTCCTTGTAGTAGACGTCATCCTCTTCTTCGTCTTCAGGAGCAGTTTGTTTGCGTGTTTAGGTGTATTTTTAAAAATATCCACTGCCAAACGTTTCAGGAAGTGTGTGTATCTGTGTAAGAGGTATCTGACGCGAGGATTCACATGACTTCTGCATTATGTGCTTGGGCGAGGAGCATTCTAATTAAAAATCTCATTTCACGTTTGTCACGTTTTTCTCGAGGGAAATGGGACGCGTCTGCACTCGGCTCAGGACCCGTGAACGCCGAGGTGAAGTGGAGAATGTGATCGTGGGGATCGCAGGTCGAGTTGGCTGAAAAGTTTGAGAAAGGTATGGATCTTTCTCACTCTTCAGCTGCCGACTCGAGCGAATTGCTGGATCAGAACGTGATCACTTGCATCATCCGATCCAGCAGATAGCGCTCTACTGCCTCCAGCCAGGAAGAACAGGATGTAGCTGAGGGCGAAGAAACTAATGAGCCCTCCCAGCCTGCCTGCCCTTCAAATGAGGAGCTTTTGGCCCGTTCCACAGAGAGACCAGATCTTTCTTGTGGCAGGTTGGGCGAGTGTTTTACATAACAGTCAGTCCAGCTCCTGTGAGCCTTCTGTTTCTCCTGGATCTCCATGCTGAGGCTGTGAGATCATGGAAGAAACCACATTCGGCCCGCATTCATCTCTTTCATCATTTTAATTACGCGAATGTAAAAGGAATACTCGAGCATGTATATGTGATGATGCCTTCCATTGAAGAGACGCTAGCCAGCTATCTCTCAGTGGGTGAGGCATCATATTGAAGTCTCCGACCCTGTCATCCAAGTCTGCGTGCCACATTTCGCTTGAATGGCAGGGCATATGCAGCAGTGGGTCAGGCCGGGGGTGCCCTGTACACAATGGCTGTGCTGCAGGCATACCAGGCTGATCTGCTGAAGGACCTGGACCAAGGCCAGGGTCTTTCCCCTGAACCGGTGGCAGAGCTGAGCTGTACCACTGATCTGGCTCTCCGGGCTACCAAGCAAACTGCTGCCGCAATCGGTCCATCGATGGTGGCCACTGAGAGAACCTATAGGTAAACCTGGCTGACATCGGAGAGAAAGAGAAAAACTTAGTGCTTGCGCTAGTTTCGCATTCCAAGCTTCCCGACACATCCGTTGAGTCCAGATCCGCTTCTAAACCCTCTGATGGGCCTGGCCCAGGGTGAGCGTCACCACTCGTGATCCACCTTCTCACCTGAGTAGGTCGCAGAGAAAATGCGACTCAAGGAGGGTCAGGCCCTGGGGCTGGTGATGCCCATGATGCTAATGGCAAAAAATTATTAAAGGAATAATTCACAAAAAAAATTAATGTTGTCATCATTTACTCACCCTTATGTTGTTCCAAATCTGTGTGAGTTTCTTTCATATGTTGAGCACAAAAAAATATTTTGTTATATATAGAATATATATTTAAGGAATGTTGGTGTAACTGTCGTAGGCCAGTATAAGCTGTGCGTGTAAACCTCACTCCCCTGATCTCAAGAGGCGCTCTAGCGATTGATGTTAGAGACTGAGTTTTTAAACCTCCTCGTTAGAGCGCCCGCCTCCCACGCTGGAGATCACGGTTCGAATCCCACTTGGTAACCAGACAGTTGAAGGTTACTTCCATTGTATTTTTTCCTACCAAGTCAATGGCCATCGTTCGTCAACTGTTTGAACATTTTCCACTTTCGATGTAATTTCTAGTGAGAAATTAGTTTTGCTTAGTTACAACCAACTCTATTTTGTTGTAGATAGTTAATCAATCGCAGAAACGCCCAACCACCCATGTTCTAAGGACAATTTTAAACAGTTGTTTAAACATTTACAGTGCGTTTCCTACAGAGGGCACACACGTATTTGAAGTTGGTCACTGCAGTTGTGCTGAGGTATATTTTTAACTTTTGGAAAAAAAGGTCTCCTTAGCTCAAAATACATTTATTGAAAGTCAATTGTGTATTGCTTCTCTCCCTTCTTTCTCTCTCTATATCTCTTAGACAGATCTCAAAAGAAAATAACCAGAGGACCTTTAAACTTTACAACCTCATTCAGAGCAACCTGCTTCTCAAATGTCTTTACAGGTATCTTTATGTGGCTTTAATCAGATCTTCCCAAAATCCTCACTGAATGCTTTTATGGTACAGTTGTAAAAAAAGTTTTTACATATTGCAAAATGTTGTTTGCATTTGAAATGTAGCATTTCTTTATTTATTGCTCAATGACATACATGACACTTTTTTTGTAATTTTGATATTTTTGTGATGCCAGTCAGATGTTAAAGTCTCACAGAGGTTGCATTTATTTGATCAAAAATGCAGTAAAAACAGTAATATTTTGAAATATTATTACAATTTAAAATAACTTGTTTTCTTTTTAAATATATTTTTAAAATGTAATTTATTCCTGTGATGGCAAAGCTAACTTTTCAGCAGCCATTACTTCAGTCTTCAGTGGCATGATCCTTCAGAAAAAAAGGATTTGGTGCTTAAAAAAGATTTCTTATTAATGTTGGAAACAGTTGTGCTGCTTAATATTTCTGTGGAAAAAGAGATACTTTTTTTCAGGCTTCTTTGATTAATTGAAAGTTCAAAAGAACAGCATTTAGCCTACTTGAAATAGATTTTTTGTAACAATGTAAATTCTTTACTGTCACTTCTGATAAACTGAATGCTTTCTTAAAAAACAAACTTACTGACCTCATTTTGACACATTTTGGACTTTTTTTAAAAAAGATTGTTAATTTTTTTATCTTTATAATCTCTCATAATATGATTCTCTTTAATATAATTATCTTCCTACTGACTCTTATTTGTTTGGATAACATTTTTAACTGAAGAACCATTCAAAACTAAAGTTGTTGTTGTTCAGTCCCTCAACTCCCGTCTGCCCTCCGCCTGTTACAGAGGGAAGCGGGAGCTGCACTGAAGGGGGCACAAGTTTACTAATTAAGGCACATTTACCACATCCCAAAAATCGGAAAAAGAAATACACGGGATTTTAATACCTAAGTGGAATATTTTCCTTGGCTGCCTTCTACAGCGTTCGTTTATATATTAACAGTTTAGGAGTGGGAAGCTCCCGCATAAACCACATAATCTGATGCATAGTTGGGTCTCGTGTGCATATCGACCCGCGGCCGCCCGGTTCGGAGTTACCGATTCTTTGTCATGAAGTAGAACATTAACCCAAGAGGGTTAAACCGCTTTAACAACACCGTGAGGCGGATGAGTTTTTACTCTCTGTGGAGGGACGGACTTGGACGCGTGCTCAGGAATACACACTTGGATACATTGAAAACATGGGGGAAATAAAGGGTAACGAGGGCTTTTTTAAGCTTAAAGTGTTTTCAAATCATTTTAATAGATGTCTTTGTCTCTGTTCGTCAAATTTTGGAGTCGTCTCTGCGAGACGTGCCTATATGTTTTTGGAAATTGGCGTGGTCTGACTCATTTATGCATCTTTAAAACAGTTGTAAGGGTTAATTTTTTAGTTTTTAAACACACTTTGCGTCATATGATAATGCCAATGCTAAAATATGATACACTGCAAGATAATCGATTACAATGTCGGGAAAAACAATGTTGTGTTACTTGCATGCAGTGGGAATGCGCATACTGATGACTTGTGTGGCTTTTCAACTTCATGATACCTAACGTTACACAAATATAAATTGCACTGCATGATCTTGCCTTTCTGTTTCTGTTGGCTAGGGTAAAACCTGTACGCTTAGTTTCTAATTGTTTTTGATCAACATTATTGAATTGATATTAGAATTGTCCAAATTCCACACTTTTATCACCTAAGTTAATTATCTTTTTATCTTATTTTTTTCTGCTCTAGAAAAAGATGCAGAGAACTATGGAAAAGGACAGCGCTCACCGGTGAGAGTTATTTAATCTTTCAGCAACTCAGCGTTTTGGTTTTTTTGCATTATGAAAAACATAAGTAAAATATGAACTATTAGCTGAAGACTCAATAAAAGATATTAGCTAAAGACTCAATAAAACTTACTTCAGACAGTAAATACAGATATCTAATGATTGCAAGTCATACATGCTACTGAGTAGAATATTATGAAATATTCCAAATGTTAGATGTCATATAACAAAGGAAAGATGTAAATTTTGACCCAAGCTCTAATTAAAAATTTGACCGATATGCTACCATTTAAAATTCTTATGAATGAACCGGGTAATGTTTCTTTCAGTGGAAATGTGACATGCCTGTTTGTAATCAAATGCTACTTTGCTCATGCACAGAAATTATGTGGGACTAACTACCCTGTTAGCATTGCCTTCATTGTGGTCAACGAGTTCTGTGAAAGATTCTCTTACTATGGAATGAAAGGTAATAAAATTATATATATACTTTTAAAAAAGCATGGAAATCTTGCATTTTGTATTAATGTATTTTCTAATTTTGTATTATTACTATGCATCTTATTTATGCAGCGGTGCTCACGCTTTATTTCATACGTTACCTGGGCTGGGACAAGAATCTGTCTACAGCTGTGTACCATGCTTTCTCTGGCCTGTGCTACTTTACTCCACTTCTGGGGGCCTTGATAGCTGACTCATGGTTGGGGAAGTTCAAGTAAGTCTCAGTCTTAATACACAATTGATGAATAATGGGGAAAGTTGATGTTGAAAATGGCATTTTTTATTCTATTCACAGAACCATCATCTATCTGTCTATAGTCTATGTGATTGGTCATGTGGTCAAGTCTGTGGGTGCCATTCCTAATGTAGGGGACAGCACTATTCATATGTAAGCTTTTTTTTATGCCAGTCAAGGTGTACCATTCTACTGTGAGACCATACAGTAAATATGTTTCAAGTGAAATAAGTAATTCCCTTTTAGAGGTGCAGTGAAGAAAAAAAAATTGTTGTTTCCTCAGAGTTTTGTCAGTGGTTGGTCTGGTCCTTATAGCTTTTGGGACAGGAGGGATCAAACCATGTGTTGCAGCTTTTGGTGGTGACCAGTTCGATGAGGAGAATGTAAGTCAAATCAGCAATGGCCGTTTTCACCTGTCAAATTCTGTTTATTTTAATGCTGCTTTAATATCTCAAAAAGTCATTTATTTATAAAGCACAGTAAAATAAGAGAATGAGCCAACAGCATAAATAAATAAAATAATAGAAATAAATATTCACACAACCTAAAATAAAACAGCACATAATAATACAATGCTTAGACAAAAAAAAAACAACTAAAAAACAATCAAAGTCTTTTAGGAGTACACTCATGTGATTTTTTAATCTAATTGACATGGGCTAAAAGACTCTTAACTTTGTTCGAGTGAACTTTTGACTCAACTATTGGGTCTTTACAATATCTAACTTCTTTTAACCCTTTTTTTATTTAGACAGACGAGAGGCGAAAGTTCTTCTCCATCTTTTACATGTCAATCAATGCTGGAAGTGTCTTGTCCACCATTGTCACACCAATACTAAGAGGTCAGAATCAAGATAAGCTTCTGGCTACAATTAATCTTTTAAAGCAATACAAATATATTGCAGTCATAAAGTGCCATTATCATGTCAATTAGAGAAACCTTAGATCATCATTATACTCAAACTCCTTAGGTGATGTGAAGTGCTTTGGAGGAGACTGCTACGCCCTGGCCTTTGGAGTTCCTGCGGTTTTAATGGTCATAGCCTTAGGTGAGGGTCCTCAGTTTTCTGGGAATTTTAGGTGGAAGAATGGAAGGAATTTGGGAAGAATTGGTAATCCTAAACTGATTGTATTTGTGAAACCAACTGTCCTCAGTAGGCATGTATATTTAACAAACTCCTGATCATTTATTTGGAAATCCCAGTATGTTATGATAGAACGTTAGTGAATCTCATTCAGTGTAGCATGAATCCCGTATGGAAGGAGAAGGGATTCAGCCTTTGTCTGGAAATATAGTGGCTCAAAACTTCTACACCACTCCTGTGGCCATTTAACGTATTAGGCATCTAATTAATTCTGCACCTGTTCATGTAGTGGTGTTTATTTCTGGAAGTGGACTATATAAGAAAAGTCCTCCGGAGGGAAATATCTTGGTGCGTGTCTGCAAATGTATTGGGGTAAGTTAATCTTATCAACAGCTCAACAGCTTTCTTTAATGCGTTTCTGAAGTTTTTGGTGCATGAAAAGAAGGTTAACGGCCATCTTTTACTTTGTTTTTGCCAGTTCGCTATACGAAATCGATGGAGGAATTCCAAGAACAGCCCAAAACAGAGTCACTGGCTGGATTGGGCAGAGGAGAAGTACCCGGTATGTTTTAATTGCTATACAAGCCAAATCTAGCCAGTTGAAATCCTTGTGTTGCTCCATCTACCAATGAAATACATTTGTTAAATTATGATTTTGATGTTTTTACAGAAGCGGCTCATTCAGGAAATTAAAATGGTGTTCAGGGTGCTGGTACTCTACATTCCATTGCCCATGTTCTGGGCTCTCTTTGACCAGCAGGTAAAAGCTTTTATTCAGTCGATATCCTTTACATTCTTTAAAGGGTTAGTTCGCCCATTTAAGACATGACGTTGTATGCAATCCTTACCAGCACTATAGTGCATACACACTGACCCACTCTGTAGTCACCTCCCTGGTCAGAGTTCTGGCCGCTGGAAGTTTTCCAAGAAAGTACTCCCGGTTAGTTTCCGGGGCCTCAAAACTTTGCGTTTTTACGCAACCAGCCAAAGCTGTCTCGTAACTTAGCTATATCCGAAACAGGAAAACGATGGAATCTGAACGGTGATCCCGGCACATTCTTGTGGTCACAGCCTGGGAATTTACAAGTTCGCACCATTGTTCATTTTCTACTTTTTACGTCGTTGTCAATCGATTGTGTAAACACTATGGAACAGCTGATCGGGACGTTGACAGCAGCGCGGATTGATAGAAATGGAAAGAAAATAGTGCCGATTAAAACTGAGGTATGAATTTTGACCGGCGTGTTTTTTGTGTGGTAAATTAATCAAGCTTTGAAACGCAAATAATTTTTTCACGTAAAAACGCACAGTTTTGAGGCCCCGGAAACTAACCGGGAGTACTTTCTTGAAAAACTTCCAGCGGCCAGAACTCTGACCAGGGAGGTGACTACAGAGTGGGTCAGTGTGTATGCACTATAGTGCTGGTAAGGATTGCATACAACTTCGTGTCTTAAATGGGCGGACTAACCCTTTAACACTCAACTCAACACAGTATTTTATTTAAAGGGACAGTCCACCCAAAATGAAAATTCTGTCATAAGGAACAAGGAAAATGTATTGATTCCTCATCAAATTCATCGTGAATTCTTTGTATACCAGAAAATGTCTGCTGGACATAATGAAGAAGAAGAAGAAGTTTTTGGTTCTTAATGATGATCTCATGAACCAGTGGAAAAGGCACTCTTGATAACAGCACTGTACAACCTCTGAAGATACTTTATAAGGATCAGAGAATTAAATAATAAGAATGTTGTGAATAAGTTAATTAAGAATAGCTCTCTTTGTTCTATGCTAGGGTTCACGCTGGACTCTTCAAGCCACTCGAATGAACATGAATTTTGTAAGTCTTTTATTTTGTGACCTCCAATATTAAGGAGTTAATACTTTATTTGAATCCGATTATTCTTGGGTAGTTATACATTTGGGAATGCAAGATTGTTTGGACAGTGAAAGCAATTGCCACATATCATTTCATTATATTATTTTGTCATTCTAAGCAGTTAAGCAATATAGCAAGTAAAATAAGATAACATGATGTCCTTGGTCTGATTTTTCTTTCTTCTTGCCATCATCACTATAGAATCCAAAGGTTATAAATATCTAAGACTTTATAACAGTTCTTGTCGTAGAAATTCAAATGCTGCAGAGTTGAAGTGCATAATTTGTTAAATGTTAAAATTCTTTTTTTTCTTCTTCTTTTTTTTACTGTATCCCAGACCTTCAGTATGAAATTATCAATATAATTATTTTTGCTTTTAGTCCATGTATATCAGTTTTTAAGATGTCTGTATGCTAATGTGCTCCAGAAAGATGACAAAATGATCACATTTCTTCTTTTAGCTAAAAATCTGAATAATGAGTTCCTAATTTATGTTTTACAGGGCGGAGGCTTTATAGTAAAGCCTGATCAAATGCAGGTGAGACAAACAGACAGAAAGGTCATCAGATACACACACACACACACACACACACACACACACACACACACACACACACACACACACACACACACACACACACACAAAAGCTAATGCTTCATTATTGGATTTTTAATATAATAGTTTTTGTTTAAGAACTGACTTGTACAATGTGAATGTTCTATTTTAACTTTATCTTGTTTAACATTTTTCATAATTTTTAAACTGTTTATTTACAGATTAAAATCCACAAGAAAACCCAGATTTTAGGTCTAGACTTTTGGACCCTAAAAAGCTTTGCTTTAAATTACATTTATTATCGATTATATTTATTGAAATGTTAGAACATCAATTTAAATCTTAGATAATACTTTATATAAATATATGGTTATAGGTTATAAGGGTTTATTTGACAAAAAGTCAGATAAACCTCAACCTCTAAAGCCTCACACAAACATTTACTTCTTCCTGTTCTTTTGTGCTTGTCATACCAAATTGACCAGTCAGTTTATGACAGGTTGTAAAAACCTAAGTAACTGAATTTTATTGTTATCACCTTCATAATCAATGTCTTATGGTGCCATTCAGTGGGTGTGTGTTTCTGTGTTGTTAAGATGCTGAATGCTTTGCTGATTCTGGTGTTTATTCCAATCTTTGACATGGGCATATACCCGCTGGTAGGGCTGTGTCGGATCAAACTCACGTGAGTGCTGTGTAAATGTGCATGTCAGTAAAAAAAAAAATATATATATATATACTATAAAAGAACATGGAAAAAAACAGCACCAATAAAAAGCTTTTACAGTAATGCATTGACAATGGAAGCCCATAGGGCAAAACATTGAACCAGGGTAAAGCGATACAGTATAACTTTAAGATAAACATTAGATGTTAACATGACACTAATTTTATCACTTACTCTTCTTGTCTGAGTAAAATATTTTTTCTTGTTCATTTTCAGTCCATTAAGGAAGATGGCAACAGGCATGATCCTTGCTGCACTTGCCTTCTGTGCTGCAACTGTCGTAGAAATTTACGTCATTGTATGTACATTTCTAAAAATGCACCATATTGCGTGTAAAGATCTTCCACTAAAAACATTTAGAGCTTGAAAGTTAACTGAAAGTGACATTTCTCTGTGGCCAGAAAACTGTTGTGGAGCCCCCTCCTGCCAAAGAAAGCCTCATTCAGGTTTTCAATCTTATGGATTCAGATGTCAGAGTGCAATTTCCTGGGCACGCTGTCTTCTCAGAGCCACTCACACCATATGAGGTAATATCACTGCAGACAAACACGAGTGCATTTTATTGCTTCCATAATCAACACGCTTATATACTTTTCTGTATTTATTACTAATATACACTAGTGTTCAAATGTTTGGTTAAATGAATACTTTTCTATTAAAAAATAAATGCTGTTCTTTTAAACTTTCTATTAATAAAAAAAATAGTATCTTAAAAAATGTACCGTGGTTACCACAAAAACTTAACAACACCGATAACAATAATCAGATGTTTCTTGAGCACCAAATCAGCATATTAGAATGATTTCTGAAAGATCATGCGACACTGAAGACTGGAGTAATGATGCTGAAAATTCAGCTTTGCCGTCACAGGAATAAATTTGAAATATATTCAAATAGAAAACACTTATTTTAAATTGTAATAATATTTAACAATATTACTGTTTTACTGTATTTTTGATCAAATAAATGAAGCCTTGGTGTGCGTAAGAGACTTTTTTCAAAAACATTTGTCAAAAAACGGCTTAAATGAGTGAATATCATTTTAAATCACATAGTTCCAACTCTGAATTCTGATTTGATAAGCCATGATTGAAGACGTTCTTAATTCACCAAGTTGCTACATTATTTGCCAACTGTTAAGGTATTTGCTGTCTGTCTTATATAATATTGCTATTACCACCATTTTTTTTTATCATTAAAAAATGAATGATTCATCATTTCTATCTCAATTTCAATCAATAGTGGAAATAATACTTTAAAAAGTGAAAAGAAGCAGGTTTTTGGACAAGAGACGTCGTTATGTTTCCACTCCTCTGTTTTCGATCAGATCATTTTAAACTGTAGACTCCTGGGAAGTTTTCAATCCAAGGATCCAGTAAGCGAATGTATTTAAACAGTCACTCTCCTATTCTGTGATTGTTTTGTAACAGCCCAAGCCTTTTCTCCTCGTGCTGTGAAATACAGACTGAACGGCGGCTCAAAACATGCTGCATGAGCATAGGATACGCAAACTTCATCTCGATGTTGATTAAAGCAAACCAGTGTTGCGCTAGTAAAGTTTTGATGGATGACTATTGTAATCAAGGTAAATATGATTACAGTGACATACAGGAGTCATAAATTAGGCACACGAAACGAGAGTCCATTATTATTGATGTGGAAACAAACCGTGTGTGTGTGTGTGCACTGATCGCGATTGAAAATTAGTAAAAATTGGGGGCTGGGGAGGCGCCGTTGTGTTAAAAGAGAGGACCACTGTCTTAAAAATGAAAATTCTGTCATCATTTACTCACCCTCAAGTTATTTTAAACCTGTATGAATTTCTTTCTTCTGCTGAAAGGAAGGAAGATATTTTGAAGAATGTCGGTAACCAGACAGTTGATGTTCCCCATTGACTTCCATAGTAGGAAAAAAATACTATGAAAGTCAATGGGGTACATCAACTATTTGGTTACCGACATTCTTCAAAATATCTTCTTTTGTGTTCAGCAGAATAAAGAAATCCATACAGGTTTGAAACAACTTGAGGGTGAGTAAATGATGACAGAATTTTCATTTTTAAGTGAACTATTCTCTTAATGCAATAAGCAAACTGAGGAAATGCATTATGTGATTTTACCACAGTTTAAGGAGCTTTAGGCTCTCAGCTTCACATCATGTCTATGACCCATTCTAAAAGTGCTGTAACTCACTGCAACTCGTGCTATAATTCGTGCTATTGCTTTATTTGATTAGGTTTAGTCAGTCAACAGATTTTTTTTTTAATTATACAGGATCCTTCGGGATACACAAGTCTTCCACTTACTGGTGAATCCCAGCTCCAGACAGTGATTGTCAGTCACAATGGGGCAGAATACCAGTGTGGACTCACGTTCACAGAACGGGCTGCCTACAGTCTCTTCCTGCACCGTCCCGTACAGCCTGGTGGCTCTGTATGCAAACTGGTGAGTCACTAGTGAATCACCAGCAAAGATTCTACCAGCATACATTACTATACATAATTTGACATTTATCATTATTAAAACAAATTCAGGTGGAAGATCACATCACCAAATCTGAAAATGGGGATGCGTATCTAAGGTAAATGAATACTTGCAGAACATTGTTTTATATTGTTTCAAGTTACTGTTTAACAGCTTTGTTAAAGTTTAGTGCTTTGCTACAATTACCTATACTTCAAGCTAACCTTTGACAAAGCAACTGGGATTGCCTGAAATCGGTTTCAGTACTCTTTTGTCTTAGAATATGTGTCTATTGCAGGTTCATCAATACCCACACTGAGAATATCAACATAACTGTTGGAGACGAGGAATTTTATGCCACCGCTAATTATGGGATTTCTCACAATATAAGTGTACCAAGGGGAGAGTGAGTATTTTAATCCTACAGTACATCTGTTTCATTATCCATATAGTTTCAAGCAACCCCTCCAACTGATCAGTTTTTCACATCTGCATTTACTCTTTATTTCAGATACAATAGAGTTGTTTGTTTAGCAGACTCCAGTAGATATGAAATCGATCTGGGACTTCTTGATTTTGGTGCCTTCTACACTGTCGTACTCACACAGGTGGGTGATAGAGTTCAGTTTCTAGTTAATGTTTTTCTGCTACTTATACTTTACTGCACAGTTTAAGATGTAGTTTACTCAACTCAATGTCGAGAACTTGGCTGAAGATTTACTGGCTTTTTTTTGCTGGTAAATAAGATAATGTAACATACAGTTCTGCAAGCTCAATTTTTTTTAAACGTTTCTGTGCCACTTGCTTCACCAAATAGACAATGAGGCTGTGTCCAAAATCGCATATTAAAAATAAGAACCTACTCAAGAGATTAAGTAATTTTTTCACGGCTGCTAAAAAAAGCACGTTCTATATAGTATGAGTGTGTGTAGTATGAATGTATTCCGGACGTACTACATTCGCCATGTTGTCATTATCATGTGACCTACCAGTGTCAGTTACGTCACTTCATTGCCATTCACAAATCCTCTCCCGTGGCCTCATGGGAAAGTAAAGTGTCCATCGTAGCTTTGTCATCACAGAATACTTAAAAAAAAATACATTAAAACAGTTTTTTTTTTTATATAATAATATTTCACAATATCACTGTTTTATAACAACTTTCTCCAATATTTAAAATGTAATTGGACTACAGTACCCATTTCAACCACTAGCTCTCAATATTACATACTGGACCTTTACAATAAATGCTTTTATGGATCAATATCTTGACACAGATATGGTTCATTTCTACAGAAAAGCAATGATCTAACACTCACAAAGATGGAGGATATCCAAGCCAACAACATTAACATCGCCTGGCAGATTCCACAATATGTCTTCCTCACCGCTGGAGAAGTTATGTTCTCTATCACTGGTTTGGAGTTCTCTTACTCACAGGTAAGTCTGTCTAATGCCTTGTACTTTTAGCTCGAGTGCATACATTTCTCATTCTTGTGCTTTTGTGCGTAGGCACCGGCAAACATGAAGTCTGTTCTCCAGGCTGGATGGCTTATGACTGTGGCATTTGGAAATGTCATAGTACTGATTGTGGCAGAGGGGGCCGGGATGGAACAGGTAAGCAGTGGGCTTTCTTATAAATGCCTGTATGGTTTTGTTGCATAGATTCTGCTCTGAACTGCACTTTCTTATACAGTGGGTGGAGTTCCTCCTTTTTGCTGCTCTTTTGGTGGCTGTCAGCATCATCTTTTCCATCATGGCCTATTTCTACACCTATGTGGATCCAGATCAGCTGGACAAGATTTTCAGAGAGGACACAGACGATGAGAAAGTGAAAAGTTTAAATGGTATGAAAAACGAGGCGTTTTCCATGGCTGACATGCCAAAGCAAACCAAGATGTAGCAAAATGACTGTTTCATTATGAACTATTCAAATCCATTAATTGTGATTAAGCTAAATTCTGTTTTTAATATGTTCCAAGGTCTTTGTGGCATTATGCTGAACTCTACTGATCAGGGATTATAGTCCAGCTGATTTAAGAGAAATTTACTGTGCTGAAGGAATTATGCTTTTACATTATATGGTACCTTACAAAAAGTAAGTATCTGTTTTTGAGCAGTTATAAAACGTAATCTCTAAGAATGTGATGGACTTTACATGTACAACCATTCAAAGATTTGGGGTCGGTAAGATATTTAATGTTTTGAGATAAGACTCTTGCGCTCACCAAGGCTGCATTTGTTCGATTAAAAATTGGGAAATATTATTACAATTAAAAACTTTTCTTTTTAAATATATTTTATAATGTAATTTATGTCTGTGATGGCAAAGCTAAAGTTTTAGCAACTCCAGTCTTCAGTCACATGATCCTTCAGAAATCATTCTAATATGCTGATTGGGTGCTCAAGATACATTTCTAATTATCAATGTACATATTTAATGTGTTTTAACACATACATGCCAGTCACTTTTTTGTTGTTGTTGCAATAATGTAAAAGCCTGTACAGTCATTTTTTTGATCAATTTAAAGAGACTGTGCTGAATAAAAGTATTAAGTTATTTTAAAAAACTAAATCTTACTGACCCCAAACAGTACTGTATAAACTTCAGTAATTTCAATGCCTAGTCCAACAATGCTATTTGCACATTTTAAATTTCACATTTTCTACATAATGTTTTTCAGTCTTGCAGTATTAAGATGGGATTAGTTTTCTAATCTAAACGACAGTTTAACATAGTATGCCTGTGATTTCATGTACTAATTTGGAAGGGATTGGAAAGGATGAACAAGACATATTTGTGATGTAATTATGCATATAATTACAACAGAGCAGATTTTAGCATTTGATCCACCCCACCAACTATTATTTTACCCTGAAAATTGGCCAAAAAAATCCATATTTATGTAGGAAACAAGAAATTTGGCTATTAAGTATTTGATGCAGATCAAATTAAAACAAGCGATGTGTTATGAAAAATATAAAATTCTTAAATATGTGTAACACATGCAAAATGTGAACATCTAATCCCACTTTATATTTTACATACTAATTATTTTGGGTCTAGAAAACATTTTAAGTATTAAAATGGAATATGGAGTATTAAACATTGTTGACAATTGATGTGATTGTTTATACAGAAAGGGGATCTTTTATTTATAAAAGTACTGTTCATCCGGTATAAATCAAGACCGAAGTTCTCTTTGTCGGCACATGATTAGCCTAGTAACTTGAGCGATGACATCAGGGTGTACCAGGAACTCTAGCATGTCATTGGTGGATAGGCGCATACCAGCAGCTCCATGTGAGGATCCTGGGCTTTCTACTTCCTGATGTGCATGCTGACCAGATCTCTGTTCGGGTTGTGAGGGGTCATTGTACTTGAAAGATGTGTCCTTTGAACAGATGCATTTAGGTTTCTGAGCCAAAATAACAGGAATGAGTTGAGGTCCGAAGGGAACAACAAAAGTGGTTGCTGGAGTCTTTAACAGTCCACTGGAATCACGTTTTCCCGCCTCTGCTCTAGGTTGGTCTGCAAGCAGGGACCAGCCTCCAGAGTCTTCTGTCCTCTTGTCCATACGGGCCTTTACTGCTAGGTTCAAATACTGCATGTTTTCATCATGAGAAGAAACTCTGTCCTAAGACACAAAAAGATAACATACGGTGCAGTTAAGCAATATCATCATTTGTTTTTTATTCTGTCACCTTTGTACTTTCCAAACCCATAATCACACAAAGCTATCATATGGCTTCAGAAGACTTGGGAGTTCACAAATCATATCACTGTCATTCTGCCCTGAAGAGATGCTCAAAATGTCTCCTTTTAAAAATAACACATGGGTTTGAAATTGCATGTGTAAATATGACCTCATTATTCATGACATAAATATTCCCATAAGCTATTCCTTTAAAAAAACAAATTCCAGACAACCACCAGATAAAATAATTTTAAGTGTCTAACATTCTCTAGTCCATCAACTTGTTTATAAACCTAATGTTTCGATATGATCCCTATTATAGATTCAGATCAACTGAGAAACTACATGGAATATTTGCACGTATTGAATTTTAAAAACCTTAAAATGAAATGTCATTTTATTTTATACACTACCATTCAAAAATTTGGGGTTGGTAAGATTTTGTATTGTTGTTAAAGAAGTCCCTTATGCTCACCAAGGCTACATTTACAGTATTTATCATAAAAAAACAGTAGTAATGTGAAATATTATTACAATAAAAAAAAAAAAAAAAAAAAAAAAACTATTTTAAGATGTAATTTATTCATGGAAAAGCTGAGTTTTCAGCATCATTACTCCAGTCTTCAGTGTCACATGATCCTTCAGAAATCATTCTAAACTGCTGATTTGGTATATATTTCTTAGTGCTTAATATTTTTGTGGAAACTGATACTTTTTTTATAGTTTTTTTTTGTTGAAATATATAGTTAAAAATAGCATTTATTTGAAATAGACACCTTTTTTAACATTATACATGTCTTTACTGTCACTTTTAATGCATCCCTGCGGAATAAAAGTATGTTTTTCTGTAAAAAAAATAATGTGAAATTTAAAATAAGATTAAGATGGTGAATAACATATATATATATATATTTTTTTTTCAACATGCAAATAATGAACTGAGCACAAGCGCCCTCTGTAGAACAAAATATTACACATTACATTTATCTTCTTATTAAATTACAGAAACATTTTTTCAACATCTACATGGGGTTTGGTTTTGGTGAACTTTCACTGCTTTATTGAGATTTCAGGCCAGTTCTTCAATAAATCTTCTTATGCACTGTTCTGAATACCTCAGTGGGATTGAGCCAGTGGTCGTCGTTGTCTAAGCTGGGGGCGCTCTTCAGGGCACACACAATGGTCTTAGTGAGAGCTTCTCCTACTCTGGCCTCATCATCCATGTCCTACGGCAGAAAAAAAAGAAAGAAACCACATCATATGCTTACCGGTACATAATGCAACTTTTTCCTAAGAACCTGATTGAAGCACACATGAAAAAGAGTCAACTTGAGTAATCAAATTTTTATACTATTGTAATCATCTAGATAGTTTGAGCAGTATGTTTGCTATGCATTATGGGAGCATTTAATGGCAAAGTGGATAGCTAGCTCTCATCCTCTACAATTTAAGACCTTGGTGTTATTTTAGACAGCAGCCTGTCTTTTGAAAATCATATTTCCCATGTTACAAAAACAGTGATCTTCCACCTTAGAAACATTGTCATTTTATGGAAAATGTTACCTACTGTCTTCATTATTGTAATGCACTAATAGGTGGTTTTCCTACATCCTCAAAAAAAAAAGAAGAGCTACAGTTAGTCCAACATTCAGCTGCTAGAGTTCTAACCAGGTCAAGGAAATATGATCATATCACCCCAATCTCATCATCTCTACACTGGCTAACTATTTAGTTCCATATCGATTATAAAATAGGCTATCCTTACCTATAAAGCCCTAAACGGTCTAGCTTATTTGAATTTAACCAGTCTTCTATCATGCTCTTTAAGGTCACAAAGCTCTGTCCTTTTGATAATAGCTATGATATCAAAGTCTACTGAAGGAGGTAGAGCTTTTACACATTTGACTCCTAAACTCTGGAATAGCATTCCTGATAATGTTTGGGGCTCAGACACTGTTTAAATCTAGATTAAAGACACATCTCTTTAGCCAAATATACACAATACCTCACATAAACTTGTTCTTCAATTATATCTAATGAAATCGTACCAAATACGCAATCATATTTTGGATCCATAGTTTGGATCCAGCTTTGCAAAGATTTCAGACGATGACAACTCTGGATCAACATACAATATCCTTGTATTGTAATATTATCCTGATATTGTAATATTAACCTTATATTGTAGATGTAATTGCAGTCTAACATGTTCGTTGTGTCTTAACTGAATACATGAAGTTAACTTATGTACTATAGTATAGCTGTATATTACTGCCATATGGACATTACTTTGATACACTCATCACTCGCTGATAACAGAATGTTATTTCGAAATTTGAACACTGAAACTATAAAGCTTACAGAAAACAACAGAAATAAATCAGCAGAGTCATAAAGGCAAAAGTGTCTTACTATCTCAATCCAGGAGTTCACACTGACAGTCACTGGATCCACAGACTCCACATAGTGCCACCAGTGTCTGGGGACAAACAGAACCTGTGAAAGACAACAGCAGTCAGTCAATACTCTGATAGAACATATTCATAACATGTCAAACAATGACCTGAATTCAATGAACAAACAATAGGGTGCAAAAATCTGAGACCACTAATTAAAATGATTGTATTTTGTATTTTTAATAATATAATTTATCATCACATATTATAAAAAAAATTATGAATTAAGAAAAAAATCATAAAATAAAAATGTGAGTGAAATGTTGAATTATTAAGATGAGTTTCAGATGACCCTAGTATTTTGTTTGTTCCTCTTTTGCTTTAAAGGTTCATGAAACCCCAAACCAAATTTTCTGAGATTTTATCAGAGGTATATGTGTTGAACACCATTGAAGACAATGTTAGCATCAGTTAGATTTAATAGCAGGGTTAAAATGGTTAAATTTGAGTTTTTTTCCGCTTTTTTTGTCTTCCGGGTTTAAAATCTTCATCGTGTCCACGTCACAGGCTGTGACGTGGCAGTGCACTGTGAGTGCGTTGATGACTCATCGGTGTCTCATAATTATTAATGAGACTGAGTATTCATATCCTATGAGAAGACACTGTCTCTTAATTATTCATGACACCACTTGGATCTTTCCAGTGACATGTCAAACTGTGATATCGCGTAATAGATGAGAGAGGCAATCATGGGACGCACGCAAGTGTTTGTTTTCGTGGTGCAAAAGTCCAATTGGGTTGAATATGTTTCCCCGCGATGCTGCCCGGGCTAGACTCTGGCTCTGGGCGGTTGGTTTTCCATCAACCACGGACACATCTAAACGTGTGTGCCGCAAACATTTTTCTCGAGAGAGCTTCGAGAATTGGAGAATGGTGGACTTCGCCTTGTTGACGACCAATGCAGGTTGCGTCTTGCGAGTGATGCGGTACCAAGTCCCGAGGACTTTTCTATCCCTTCAGAGGTGTGTGTGTGTGTGTGTCTAAAATGAGACGTCATCCACCTCCACAGAGCCATCTTTTTTATGGGGGTTCAGGGGGCCTGTAGATCTAGCTATGCACGTAACGTTTTTTTTAAGCGGAAAATTAATAATTTTCAAATATATGTATTTATAGTGTCTATATAAACAACTATATATTTTATAATAACATTATAATTATACATGTAGCCTACATTAATATGTTCTCAATAGAATTATGATTACTGTAGGCTAATATAGCAGGGCATTCAGTTACTTTTGAAAGGACAATAATAAAGTGTCGTATTTCATAAGACTTTAACTTTGCCAGCTATAAAAAAAATCTAGCATTTCCTCACGTTTTACCACTGCTTTTAGTGACAGTCGATATGCATGGGATACTGGCGATGACAGTGATGGCCATACCACACCCCTTCTCACAGCCATCCACGCCCATTTAAGTTGCAATTTTTCAAAAAGATTGTGAGCTAGACTTGAGCTGAAAGAGGGGGGTTTCATGACCCTTTAAAGGCAAAATATGTAAGATTTTTTCGCCACAAGAGGGCGCAGTTTCCAACAATAACAAAGGCGTAGGTTTATGACGCAGTGATGAGCTGAATGATGGGACTTGCTGTCAAGTTGATGGATCTAATAATGTTTATGGATGAGTGCAAACATTCATGTTTTTTAACATTACAGTGGTATGAAGCAGTACGACGATAGATTGCTAAAGAGACAGATATCACACGCGAATCCCGCGGATATAAAGGAATAAGGACATTTAATTCTACCGAACTACCCGCAAGTGCTGGATTACTCACAGTTTATTAGACGAATTAAACTTGTAACGCAGCGCTGCTTCACTTGGTCTAACGTTACACTATCACACTAAACGGCATTTAAATGTGTGTTGAAAGTTATAATGTTATACTACGTGTTAGTTCGCTTGCTATACGAAACTAGCATTAAGCTAGATCAACATTAGAATAACATACTGACCATATTCTAACATTTCATCATGTTGAGCTAACGTTATATAACATTGATTTGTTTTATGTACATTTGCTCACCTGTCTAATAAAGCTGTCAAGTCATGACTCATGAAGCTCTGTCAAGTCCAGTTAGTCGCGGACGTGGAGCTCTCGGCATCTCAAAAACGCCACGGTGATATTGATTCTCATTTTAGTTATCCTTGTTTGTCCCAAAGTCTGCTTGCCATGGTCTATGTTTGAAAGAAACAAGAACTGCGTGCCGCTAAACGTTACACACTACGCAGTTATCCACGTCTGTCGCCATGGTTACGTCATGGCTATGGCAGTATGAACGGAAACCGAGGATAGCGCGGATATTGCGTCATTGACAGGCGACATTTTTTTCCGGGACGGCCACTTATTTAAAATTTAAATTTCTCTGAAATAAAAAGTCTTTGGAGACTTTTGGGATATTGTAAGTACACAACTGCAGGAAATATATCACACTGTGCAAGTGATTTTTGGATATTTTATTACAAATTCGTACATATTGTACCTTTAATGACAGCAGCACTCAAACGGCATTAAAGGGTTAGTTCACCCAAAAATGAAAATTCTGTCAGTAATTAACGTTACTCACCCTCATGTTGTTCCAACCCGTAAGACTTTCGTTCATCTTCAGAACACAAATTAAGATATTTTTGATGAAATCTGAGAGCTGTCTCACTCCTTCATAGGCTTCTAGGCAATTTCATTCTGCCGGTCCAGAAAAGTTAGTAAGACATCGTTAAAATAGTCCAAGTGACTACAGTGGCTCAACCTTAAGTTTATCAAGCGACGAGAATACTTTTTGTGCGCAAAAAAAATATATACAGTATAACGAATTTATTCAACTATTAATTTTCTTCTGTGTGGGCCTCTGAGTGAGTTCACGAGAGCGCCACGACGCATGCGCGAGAACTGAGAAGATGACGCAGATGGGTCTTTAATGTAGTGTTTGTTGCAGATGTAGTGTTTAAAACATAGACAGTATAAGAAGTGGACAGAGCCATCTCATTGGAACTCAGTTGAGACAGTTGAAGCCCATTTTTAGCGATTTTTGAGCACTTCCGTTACTGACGCGCAGACTCAAACCGCCTCAAACTAAGCTTGATGACGTGAGCAACTTGTCTGACAGACGTTAATCTTCTAGTAGCTGTGCGTGAAAATTGCCAACGTTAATCTTGCCGAGACGGGGAACTTGAGCAAAGAGTTCTTTGGCGTGAGTGAGCAGGAGTAAGTATTCCGTTGCTTTTATGGACTCATTATCTACGGGGTTCTCCCTCGACGGGACGTCCCCCCGATTGCCTGCGAGCTTCTCTTCCTGTCTGTACGGTAATTTCTGTACAGCGCGACAGAGAGTCGAGTGGTTATGACGCAATCGTTAGCCTATTTTTACTAAATCTGTTTCTACGGGGCCATAATGTAACATAGAAGGTAATGGAGCCCTTTATACATTGTCGTGTTTCTTTAGAAATAAATAATGGACAAATGGAGTCTTTAAACGCCTCAGATGTAAAGTTATTCGCTGTCAAAGTGACGCCAAAATGAATGGGAGTCAATGGAAATGCTAACGCAAGTAAAGTTCTGCTACAACATGGCGGCACCCGGCCGGCTTCAACTTCCGGTCGATGGATTACCCCCTTGGTTTAAAATGGTTCTAAAGTGTGCATTTCCTGGATGTCCGAATCAAGAGAAACCAACGAGAAAACGTAAAAGTGCCTTACCAATGCCGCAAAATGAATGGCTTACCTTTCACACTTTCCCATCAAATGATCGTGAGCGTCATCTTCTCAGTTCTTCTCACGCATGCATAGTGGCGCTCTCGTGAACTCACTCAGAGGCCCACACAGAAGAAAATGAATAGTTGAATAAAGTCGTTATTTTAGTTGGGGTTTTTTGCGCACAAAAAGTATTCTCGTCGCTTGATAAACTTAAGGTTGAGCCACTGTAGTCACTTGGACTATTTTAACAATGTCTTACTAACTTTTCTGGACCGGCAGAATGAAATTGCCTAGAAGCCTATGGAGGAGTGAGACAGCTCTCAGATTGGAACAACATGAGGGTGAGTAATTACTGACAGAATTTTCATTTTTGGGTGAACTAATCCTTTAACTCCAAAAATGTGTGTAAAACCTGATGATCATGTTCTTCAGCATGATTTGAGAATGATCTAAAGAGTAGCTTTTCCTTCAGCGGAAGCAAGATCATCTGAGTGTCTTTACAAAGAAGTTACATGCTCAGTGTCACAAATTTGACCTAGAAATAGTGCATGGTTATGGTTATCCTTGTAATTAATTACGCTTTTGCTGGTCCAAGATTATGGAACAAGAACAACCTGCTTTGTGGTTAGGTCTTTGCAGTCACAACTGTTCTCTCTTGCATTTTAATACATTATATTAAAGGGTGTTTTATTGGTTGTTGTCTTTTTTTATTGTATTCTTTTTTGTTTATATTATTTGTAACTTACAGCACTTTGGAGTTACTGTGCAGCCTGAAAGGTGCTTTAAACCATATTTATTTAAACATATATACTACTGTGTGTGTGTGTGTGTATATATATACACTCACCGGCCACTTTATTAGGTACACCTGTCCAACTGCTCGTTAACACTTAATTTCTAAGCAGCCAATCACATGGCGGCAACTCAGTGCATTTAGGCATGTAGACATGGTCAAGACAATCTCCTGCAGTTCAAACCGAGCATCAGTATGGGGAAGAAAGGTGATTTGAGTGACTTTGAACGTGGCATGATTGTTGGTGCCAGAAGGGCTGGTCTGAGTATTTCATAAACTGCTAATCTACTGGGATTTTCACGCACAACCATCTCTAGGGTTTACAGAGAATGGTCCGAAAAAGAAAAAACATCCAGTGAGCGGCAGTTCTGTGCGCGGAAATGCCTTGTTGATGCCAGAGGTCAGAGGAGAATGGCCAGACTGGTTCGAGCTGATTGAAGGGCAACAGTGACTGAAATAACCACTCGTTACAACCGAGGTATGCAGCAAAGCATTTGTGAAGCCACAACACGCACAACCTTGAGGCGGATGGGCTACAACAGCAGAAGACTCAACCGGGTACCACTCATCTCCACTCCAAATAGGAAAAAGAGGCTACAATTTGCAAGAGCTCACCAAAATTGAACAGTTGAAGACTGGAAAAATGTTGCCTGGTCTGATGAGTCTCGATTTCTGTTGAGACATTCAGATGTTAGAGTCAGAATTTGGCGTAAACAGAATGAGAACATGGAACCATCATGCCTTGTTACCACTGTGCAGGCTGGTGGTGGTGGTGTAATGGTGTGGGGGATGTTTTCCTGGCACACTTTAGGCCCCTTAGTGCCAATTGGGCATCGTTTAAATGCCACGGCCTACCTGAGCATTGTTTCTGACCATGTCCATCCCTTTATGGCCACCATGTACCCATCCTCTGATGGCTACTTCCACCATGTCAAAAAGCTCTAATCATTTCAAATTGGTTTCTTGAACATGACAATGAGTTCACTGTACTAAAATGGCCTCCACAGTCACCAGATCTCAACCCAATAGAGCATCTTTGGGATGTGGTGGAACGGGAGATTCGCATCATGGATGTGCAGCCGACAAATCTGCGGCAACTGTGTGATGCCATCATGTCAATATGGACCAAACTCCCTGAGGAATGCTTCCAGCACCTTGTTGAATCTATGCCACGAAGAATTGAGGCAGTTCTGAAGGCAAAAGGGGGTCCAACCCGTTACTAGCATGGGGTACCTAATAAAGTGTCCGGTGAGTGTATATATATATATATATATATATATAAAATATATGTATATTATTTTTTCATCTCAGAGTTTTGGACCAAACTCTGTATACTGTATGTAGAGATGTAAAGTGCATATTGAAATACTATTTACCACAAGGTGGCAGCTGTGCTCTATATAACATCACATCATTTGGGTCATAAAAAAAATCCATATCCTAGCAATATTTATAGCAATATTCTCACATACAGTGTTTTTTAATCTAAGCAAACTCTCTATAACAACAAAGGAGTAAACAAACATTCAGCTAAAAACAGATCCATGAAAAAGAAAACAAACACTGAGTTAATGTTCATGAAACAGACTGACATAAAAACATAATTTAAAGTGGCCACACAGTTAATGTGGTACTTTGTTCAAAAGAGAAAATGATATGGGGATAAAAATGTGTTTCCAACAGTGTTTCTTTATTATTAATTACAAACTATCATAGTAAAGTTTAGTAATTTTATGTGCTTTTGTCTTTTATTATTTTTTAAAATAATTATAAAAAATATATTTTTATTTCAGTTTTAGTTTTAATAATAGTAGAACTTCAACTTATTTCAGTTTGATTTCAGTTCATTTAAAATGTTTTTTACCTCTAACATTCCAGAACTCGACGTACATTGTAAGGACCTTCTGTGATTTTTTCCCATGTGTTTGCAGTGAGAGGTAGTGGAGCAGCGTTAGCTGTCTCACAGAATGGAAGTTTGTGTCTCCCGTCTTCATTAGTATGCTGTGAAAAGTGTGAGTGCTCCCGCAGAGTACGCTCACAGTGTTGGACCGCCGCTAATTGCCTTGCCACCGTCTCGCCTCTCTAAGAGCTTGATCAGAGAGGTTTCACACATGCTGCTGGAATCTGAAGGAGGGGGATGTGCTACAAAACATGCACTCAGCTTTATTCTGCTGCTGTCTGATTCATCAACGCGTCGCTAAAATGCACACATAGGAGACCCAACTGTTGTAATACAGGATCCAAAAAGACACTCAGGGAATGTTATATTGAATGTTTTGGAAACGTACTATCCATAACATCACTTGATGGTAATTTATGGACAAATCTCGACTTAATTGCACAACTGTACGCTAGATTTCCTATGTGATATCTGGGATTCAAACAAGCCCTCTTTCGCTTGCAAACAACTTATGACAACACATTTGAAATTAGCTTTGTAGACAATACAATTTGTGATACATTAAAATAATTAAATCATTTTAATTAAATAATATAATATTAAAAATATCAGAATTTTTAATGCATGAATGGTAAAGGAAAGGCAGCCAACAAATGTCCAGAACGTCTTTAATAGTGTTTAAAAAGCTGTTTTATACTTTTCTAAAATGTGGCAAGATTAGTGGTCTTAAACCAGATTGACATGGATTTTTTTTTTTAAGGATACAAATACTGTACTGTGACTGTACAATAATATAATTGTGTCTCTTATTACTATACAAGCTGTAAACACAGAGTTGTAAGATAAAGATAAATATTGTGCACCTTTTACGTCGCCATGTTGGATTTATGTTGCCATAATATTATGAGTTAATATTGAGTAAAAGGTAATCCCAGTGTAATTTTAATATAATTTATATAACATTATAATGTTTATTCATATTTTTAATTAGCTTTTAATTTTCATTTCACTTCACATTTGTGTTATTTTGTATTATTCTAAATGTATCTAGTAAAAATAAAGAATTAGTAGCCTGGACAAAATTTTTGACAGGAAGTGTAAAAAAAAAAAAAATTCATACAGGCCTACCTGTCCAGGCTCCAGAGTAACAGTATGGACTCGAGCTCTTTTGAATGCTGGGAACTTTTTCAGGTCTGGATGGACCACGCTGACCTGGCTGAACACGCTGGACTCCTCGTATGGGATACGTGTTGGGTAGAGGCAGGGTGTGTCATCGGGAGGGAAGAGATGCCATCGCTTTCTGGTGAAAGAATGACTTTATTGTGATACCACTTTAGTTTAAGGTCAAATTCTCAACGAGTTCTAATTAACGAGTTGCTTATTAGTATGCATATTACTAGGATATTGGCTGTTTATTAGTACTTATAAAACACATACTAATGCCTTATTCTGCATGACCATATTCTATATCCCTTAATCCTACTCAATACCTAAACTTAACAACTACCTTACAAACTATTAATAAGCAGTAATTATGAGTTTATTGAGGCATAAGTCATAGTTAATAGTTAGTAAATAGTGAGAATTGGATCCTAATTAAAAGTCTGACCATATTTCATTGTATTACAGAAAGTTTCACCACAGCCACATAGATTATATTTTCCCTGTATGCTGCCTTTCATGTCACAGCAGCGCTAATCAAACAACTGCCATTGAGATGAATGGGAATTCTAATGGTTAGCTTTCAGCTGTGTCAGGATGTCAGTTTCTAGAGGTAATATTTTCAGCATGCAGGTTGCATAGCTACTGAAGATGCCAGCCGAACAACTGCCATTGAGATGAATGAGAATGCTTACGGATGAGCTAGTTTTCTCAAAGTGTTATGGGTCTACTTGCAAGAGGTATTATACAATATTGTGATTTCTGTGGCAGGCCATCTTGACAAGAGGAGTCTCAAATTACAGAGACAAGACAAGCTCCACAGAGAGATAAGATGGAGGAAGAGGTTCTTTGTTGTCAGATTCGCTTCTCTCGATGGTGCAAATAACATATCTCAATAGCTGTTCACATCACTACACTTTATGACTCGCTCTTTCGGATGCAGAAGAAAAATGGCTTTCTTTCAACAGCTCAGGATTGGATCAGGAACCCTAACATAAGATGAGATACGGCTCTTGTCAATATTTGTAGAAATCACATGGTGTTCCTCTAAACCATGTTCATAGAATAAGCCAAATTGGCAGTTTTGCCTGAGGCTTACAGTATCTTGTTCTATCGACAGCTGGTCATCAAAAACTAGTTTCATCTCACGTCAAACCATAAAATCAGAAGGGGTTATACAAGTGCAGAAAAATACAATAACATAGTAGTGTTGTGGGTTCTTTTTATTAAATGGTGACAGACACCCCCTATAATTGATTTTGAGGGGCATTTAAGAGGGCATATTGTTTCTAACATGTCAAATACTTCAATTGAATCAACTACCTACTACATGACAGATATTGCTAAAATAGCCATGAGAAATCACACCTGTCTCTGTGACAGAATAGCAAAAAAAGGTTTAAATCTAACATTCTCTGACTGGCTTTTAAACAACATGGACTGGATGTCTTTGCTATTAAAAATCATATTTGTTAATTGAAGTAACACTGAAATAAAATAAAATATTAATATTAAATGAAAAACAAACAAAATTTTGAAATGCGCCTTATCAATTAACTGGAATAAAATAAGTTTAAGCTGAAGTACTAAAATTACTAAAACTGAAATAAAAAATAAAGCTAAATAGAAATATATATATATATATAAAAACTAATAAAAATTACAAAAGCACATAAGTGACCATGAAAACTGACAATATAGAAAAAAAAAGCAAATTCAAAATATTCACTAATACTAAAATAACACTGACTGAAATGTAATAATCTTAGTAAACTGAATAGTTGCTAATATCTCGGGCTTGTTTGTCACTTTTGGAGGCATTTTTGCAACAAAACCTGGTAATGTCAGTGATGGCAGTGATGTTGTGAGTCAATCTTTGAAATCAACCCCATTGGCTGGTTTTATGAAATCTAGTGTCAAAAATCTGGGTTTTGTTTTAGAAAGTAACTTAAAAATGGATAGGCAAATAAACTCAGTTGTGAGAACCAGTTTTTTAATTTACGGCTATAAGACTAAACCTTTTTTATCAGGTCCAGATCTTGAGAAAGCAATTACAGCTTTGGTCTTCACACAAATGGACTCTCTTTTTTATGGTATTGATGCTAGATCACTAGACCACTTACAGAAAGTCCAAAATGCAGCAGCTAGGATGATCAAGTCTGCCAAAAAAATATGACACTGTTACGCCGCTTTTAATCTCACTGAATTGGCTGCCTGTATGGTATAGACTTATGTATAAGATTCTCCTACTTGTTTTTAAGGCTTTTCACAATCAGGCAACTTTGTACATGTCCAACATGTTGTCAACATATACTCCCCCCAGATCCTTGAGATCAGAGAATCAGCATCTTCTATGTGTCAGCAGGACCAAATATAAACATAACATGTGATAGAGTTTTCTAGAGTGGGTCCAAAACTTTGGAATGATCTCCCCGTCTTCTTTAGATCAGCCAAAGCTCTAACTACTTTCAAATTTAGGCTAAAATCACATCTGTTAAAAGCTATGTGAGGACGCTCATGATGGGGTTTCGAGTACGCCTGTGTCTGCTTTATGTGGTTCTATGTATTAATTTGTTGTTCTTTATTGTAAAGCACTTTGGGAAACCTGTGTTGCAATAAACTGTGGTATATAAGAATGAATTGACAAAATTGTCTGACCCTGGTTCTTACCTCCCTTGGATCTGGAACACAAGATTGCAACCATATGAGTCAAGGTGACATGGAGTGTTAGCACCCTGTGTGCCAATCCAAAGTGTGCTGTCTCGTCCATCTCGGCCAGCAAAGCCAAAGTCAGACCACATCACATCCTGTAGTTATAATGTTTGTGTTTACAAAGAGCAAAAAAACAACTTGATGTCAATTCTTTTCAATATAACAAACAAGAAACACTCAGAGATGCTGCCCTTGAAGGGAGATAATGGAACCATTACCATGTCCAGAGGACTGTAAATGAGATGGTATGTAATCAAGCCCTCAGCAATGTTTAAATTACCCTATTCATCATTTAAGAGAGGCCCATGTCTGCTCCCGGTGCCCTAGCTGGCAGGGAGAATATTGCCACCTCATAAGCATTTATTATGATTTACAAAAACTGAAAGCTAGAAACGAACATTAGGTTATTGTTCCCTTGGCTGGGGAAAACAAAACAAAATAAATTGGCACAAAATATCATTAAATGTCTACAGAATGACAATGATGTGCCATAGGATATGTTTTACTGAAATAATAAAACAGCAAGTACTGATTAATTGCTCATCATATCTGTTATTACAAGTGTTGTGATAAATTTTCATGAGATGTTGTAACAACTCTAGGCTAATAAAGAGTTTCAGAGAGCTCATAAAATAAAGGTAAGCATCCTCGGGAGACAAGGCAATAGATACTAATGAATTCGACTGTGTTTATTGATCAAAGCTGATGTCATTGACGTGCCCTGTGTGCTGTAGAGCGCCACTTCATGAAAAATTGGTCGCTCTCAAGCATATCTGGCATGCGGAAAAAAGGCAAATGGGTTAATATGGTGCTTGATGAGGTCTGAGAGCATGATTGATGGTGAGAGGAAATTAAAAGAGTAGTGTCTCGTCCATTTATTTTATTCAAATGGAGCTCACTTTAGCAACACTAGATTTTTTTTAACTAGAATTTGTGATGGCAAAATTTATCATCATAATCTTATAATTTAATCAATTATAAGAATACATAATACAATATATTGCATAATAATAATTGTAATAATGTAGTATTAGTAGTATTAAATATTTGAAAAATATGAATACAATCTGATTGTAAAGCAATGGAAAGGGAATTCACAAGGTTTACCTGAAAGATGGCAGGTTTGTCCTGAAAAAGCTGGGCAATGTACTTGTAATCAGCATAAGCCCAGAATTCCTTGCAGTGATAGTCAGAAAATGGCCCAACAAGTGATTCACCCTCATTGGCAGTCCAGGACAGAAACTCTTTAACAGTTGCTTCAATGTAGGAGCACTCCGTTTCAAAAAGAGGAGCTGGTGCAAACAAAGTGAAACAAAGTAATTAATGAATAGACTATCAGAGAAAGAGACCACAGAGATTTTCTAAGCAGGTTTATTCAAAATGCATGAACTGGAAAAGCCTTTGATAATGTAAAATTATTTTAGGCACATTATTTGGTACTAAGAGAGGCAACATATATTGAAATGGTTTACTTTTCATATTATAGCATGATATCAGTTTGTTTGATTTGAAGTCATAAAAACTGCAAGTATAACTATCACTGAAAATTGTTGCTTAAAATAGTTGATAACTCTTTACAATAAGGTTAATTAGTTATTAGTTAAAAGTATTCTCGTCGCTTGATAAACTTAAGATTGAGCCACTGTAGTCACTTGGACTATTTTAACAATGTCTTAAATAACTTTTCTGGGCCGGCAAGTTTCAAAGATTTCAGATTTCATCAAAAATATCTAAATTTGTGTTCCGAAGATGAACGAAAGTCTTACGGGGTTGGAACAACATGAGGGTGAGTAATTACTGACAATTTTCATTTTTGGGTGAACTATCCCTATAAAATTAGTTAATGTTATATCTAACATGAACTAACAATAAGCAATACATTTGTTACTGTATTAGTTCATAAAAATATAACATATAATATAACAATATAGCTATTCATTGTTTGTTCATGTTAGTTCACAGTGCATTAACTAAGATTAATAAACACTGTAGAAGTATTGTTCATTCTTAGTTCATGTTAATGTTAACTAATGAACCTTATTGTAAAGTGTAACCAAATAGTTTTAGAGCTAAAGTGTTGTCACAATCCTGTCTCTGCTTTTCGCCTGCATTTCCCTTCAGTTAAAAGCTAAAACCATGGACAATCCATGAAGGCTCATGGATTGTCCATGGATTGTTGCCATTGGTTTGCCAGAAGTGCCAAAGGCATTTACACCTAATGGCAAAGTTCCCGTTGTTGCCAAAATTTTCTGCAGGCACACTATTACCATTTTTCAAATCCACAAATTAACCTCGAAATAAACTTTTCTTCAAATAAAGTCTGTTAAACTGCGCCTTAGGATAAAGGGCATCTTCTTACAGAAACAAATGTGTTTTATGTTGACATTGTAGTGAACAAGCCTGTCTATGTTACTCATAAAGTATTCTAAAAAAAAAACAGAACAAAATTATTATGCCATTTACACCACCTTCAGAAAGTATTCACATTGCGAACATAGTGTGATTTCTCAAGAGTAAGACAGTTGTCTACCTCACCAAAGATTGTAAAAACAAAGGGGAGGAATACTCTTGAGAAATTGTAGGAGTAGGATACTACATGGGTGTTGTCTCTTCGCAAGTAACTAGACAACATTATAGTGTTGCTTGGGATACCTATTCCTGGAAATCTACCTTAATGGATTTAAGTCCAACCCTCTTCTAAAATACCTACCCGTCATTTAAATGTAGAAAATTGAATGTCCTGATTATGTTTAAAAAATATGTTGTGGACAAATGCAGTTATTTTACTCTAATGATCTTGCTGTTTAATGTTTGTGGCTTACCCATATCCTCATTCCTTTTTCCAATACGGAATCGTACCCTCTCTGTAAGGCAAGTTGACAGGTGCTCCACAGTCCAGTGTAATGCTGGCCAGTCTTTGGTCATGTTCAGGAACACAGCTGGTTTCTGTAGAAACTGGACAATCCTCCTCGCCTCTTCTGGGGTGAAAGGTTTCGAAGCCATTCTACAGAAAAGCATAAGATGAGGATGATTAAGATAAGTAGATTATGTCTTATACAACACATATTCAGTAATCTTTCAGATAAATGTAGGGGTTTAACTATAAACCACTCAGATCATGAACATATATCACAGTGATTGATTGTGATAAGAGAATCACAAAGTCAAACCCATAATCAAAGTCAAATCAATAGAACTGACATGTTCATATTAAAATGTAAAAACACATAGTCACTGCTTGTGCAGCATCGGTTTAAAGGTTACATTTTTGCATCTACACACACATGTAAACAACTAAAATCCATTTTCCAGCTAGTAAACAAAACTCACGTGAGACGTACCACTGTTTTTTCTCACAACACATGGAACACGAAACAACGGCCATGTTGGCTCCATAGAGGAGCTGAGGTCCCCTTAAATTGATCAAATATATGATCCAACATGGAGAACAAAGACGTTCAGTTTCACACGCTACGTCAATTCCGTCTCGACGCAGCGCATGCGCAATAAAGTTTGAAGCGCTGCTGAGAGTGTCATCGGTTGTTTATGTTTCGATGGGCAGCTGACAATTGAGCGACTGCCCTAGTTTTTTAACGTGTCATGTTATAGACGTTGCTGGATAGCATAAAGACATTTTAAAACGTGATACCACGTCTGTTCAATGGGTGCCGTGGAAAGCACCGAGGGAGAAAGGGAACCTTTGCTGGTTCCATCCCAGCCGGCGACAAACACCACACAGCCTGTGTTCAGCAGGGTGTATGGGAGAAGATGGTTTGTTCTCACCATGTTTTCATTGTTGGCTTTTATGCAAGGACTGGTGTGGAACACCTGGGGCCCGATCCAGATCTCAGCCAAACATGCGTTCGAGTTCTCATCGACAGATATCGCGGTGCTGGTGATGTGGGGTCCAGTGGGCTACATGCCCTGGCTGCTGTTTATTTGGTTGATGGATAAGAAAGGTGAGTTGTTTTGCTTTTTGTCTAGTGCCATGGCAACAATATCTGTAAATACAAATAAATGATGACAGATACATTTGGCATTATTTAGACTGATTTATGTATTGTCTTGGATCATACCACATAACTGAAGGTGTTTTAGTAAATAGCCAGAGCCAATTTCATAATTTAAATGTCTAATGTACACATTTATGTTTTAACAAATTTGAGATGTCTATGCAATTGTTTATCTCTTTTATGCATGTTGTTCACTACAGAGAGGTCTTTCAAACCATTTTATGGGTGACGTATCCAAACTATAATTTGTAATTACCTTAAGCCCTTAATCATAATTTTATACAATGTCCTCTTTATATGTCATTGTGTTTTTTATAACAACATACATTTCTGACAAATGTGTTAAAGCCAAGTACCTTTTGAATATTCAGACTTCTATTGGTGTGGCCTGGCCAGATGTGTAACTTAAAGTACACCCTTTTGGAAAAATAAGAAATGTTGCGAATTATTGTGTTTTTTACAATGCTTTATGTGGGTTAGCTGAACAGGATGCCACACAGAAGGACTCATTACCTCATTTGACATAAAGTAATAATCGTTAAAAGGTAGTTCATCACATGTTAGGCCACAAAACCAGTTCCCTAACATCATATGACACAAGTCATTATGTAAGCCTGGCATCATATGCAGTTTTTGTATTCATGCTTGCCGGCCAGTTTCTAAGTTGAGGAAATTACAGACTTAGAAGCCTGGAATGAAATGTGAAACAGACATAAAGAATATATAATAGTAAAATGGAAGTTAATTAGCCTATGTCCTATCATGTTCTTCATGTTGTTCTTCATAATGTTTGTCGATGTTTAGGGAACCTTAACCTTATAGAATCTCAATTTTTCTGATATTTCATAAACTTCAAATTAAATATTTTGAGGGGAGCCAGCTGTTTGCCAAGATATAGGCAAATATTGAACCTAAATTTGTTTCTGTTGTTCGTACAAATTTAAATTATGGATTCTACAGCAAAAATCACCCAATTTCATGGGTTCATGGAGTCATGGATTCTCACCCAAAAATTAAAATTATAGTGATGCACCAAAATAGTTTTTTACTGAAACCAGTTTTAATTGAACCAAAAACTGAAACCGCTAAATAAATTTGGTCATTGAGTATTTCAAATCAGTTTGCTGTTCAGTGCGTTGTTCATAGGTCATAGGTTCATCAGTCGTAGTAAAGCCATTTCCGATATTTCAATTGAACACATTTTACACATTGCTGCTACTCGAGCTAGCATCATTGTTGGTGCGTCTACACTGCTAACACGTGTACCTTTTGTAACTTATTCATGTTGTGTGCACAAAATAGACACCGACACAGTCAGAACACATCATTGAAGAAGAGCAAGTCGTTTCGGTCAATGATTTCAGCCCTCCAAAGATATTGCTGACAAAAAGGACAGAAAACCTCTAAGAACAAAAACTTACACCATGTGTTCTGAATAAGAACACAAATAGTTTTAAAACTTCTGCAGAGAAGAAGACAACAGCTTTGATTTCAATCTTTTCCTCACACAAAGTTATCGTATGACGTCAAATGTTATAAAAGGTGCATTCACACCATGTCGTAATTACCGCAATTAGGCCTACGTGATTTTAACTTGTAAAAAGCGATCATGTCCGCGTAGAGCTCGTAATTACAACTCGTAAGATTGGAATTGTCTGAGAGGTGTGACTGTTGTATCAGATTAATTTAGGTGTTGATGGTGGTGCCATAGAAACGCATAATTACGAGTATGTAAACAGTTCTGAATATGATGTCACGTGTTGTCATTTTGAGACAAGGTTAATTTCGACATGGCGTGAATGCAGCAATAGACAACATTTATGGTTATCCTAATATGGTAATAGTTGCATAAAGATTAGGCCTACGTTTCACATGAAAAAATAACAGTATTCTGGTTTCAAAGGACATGAAGGGGAGTAAATAATGTTGAGTGAACTGTCCCTTTAAGATAAGAATCATTGTGTGAGGAATCTGTTTTTGAGCCTTGAAAATTAAAATTCGAGCCTTCCTCAAATAAGTCGCGTGGTTCGCATTTGGAAAAGAGCGTTTGGTCAAACAGGACAGAAAGCTTGTGTTTTTAAAACTTCCCCCCTGCCTTTCACTTTATCTTACCTGGAAATAAGGTGCATTTTCAGATATCTCAAAGACTTGATGATAATGTCAAACAAATGTCTTCAGCTCGGTTTCCCCCGTGTTTTTACACCTCATTCATTAGCTTATACACCTAGTCGACGTTTCAGTTCTGTTTATTAACAGATTAACACACTTTATTTGGTATCTGTGATAAGAAAGTGCATGTTCTTTTGTAAATATATGATGGAAAATGCTTCCAACCACATTTTCACTCTTTATCTTGAATGGGAGCATTTCACCTTCCCTTTTGTATTCAACATGAAAACAATTGCCTCAGGCTGTGAAAACCATGTCTGCCAAAAAAACACAGTTCGCCGTTTCTATATTAAACTCAGAAACATTTGTAAAGTTCATGTTTCATCCTGGACAAACAAACATTTGTTTTGTCACCAATGAATCATATTTAATTCTTTTTGATGGTTAAAAAAAAAAAACATTAAAAATTCTCATCTTCTCTGATTTCCTAATCCTAATATCTTCAAGATAAGCCTGCATAATTTGCCAGTATCTCGGAGATGGATCTACATCAACGACTAATCTCATCAGTTAATTAAAGCTTACAAGATATTATATCTGTCTGATATGTCTTCTTTCATTCTTCTCTGTCTTGTGCCAAAGGTTTGCGAGCATCTCTGCTGCTGTCAGCGTTCTTCATGGTGCTGGGCGCAGCGCTTCGAAGTGTGCCCCTGAAAGACCTGCACTACAGACGCTGGTAAGACTCACACAATAGTACACAATAAGTTAAACTATATGAAGCATCTTTTATTAAAAAAAAATGTATTCATTTTTATCCAGACATCAATGGCTTATTGATCATTATAGATGTTATCAATCATTTAGTTGTTCCTATTTTGAGTTGAGAAATACACATTTCAGAATTATCACTAATCTGTGTGTGCATTTTGCTTTAGAACGAAGCAAGTTGACTCATGAAACCATTTGTTTATTATATCGCTATCGCAATATTGACCTCAATAATCGCAATATGACATTTTCCCCAAATCGTGCAGCCCTATTGAAGACCAATATTGTTTTGTATAATTATGGCTTTTGTGATCTAGCTGTATTTGTGTGGTTAGATGTAGTTGTCAACCGATTGTTCATTTCATCAGTACATGTTTACAGTACACACACACGTATAATATAGAGTATATATAAATATAATATATATATAGCCTATACACAGACACACATGCATCTATCTATAAATTACAGAAACGTCTGTTATTCGCATATCTCGGTAAAAGAAGCACACATTGAAGATGTTTAGATGAGGTTTAGAAGGTTGTGGTTTAAAAATAAACATTCTGACATTAGAGGGTTGTGGTTTAAAAATATCTGAATATTATGTTTTATTCTGGTACGCTTAACATTATCGCTACTGTGTAATAGTAGCCTATGCTATTCACCAACTAAACATAAAATACGCTAACTGTCTTTTATTGTCTCTATAATTGTAATCTGCACAATGACAACAAAGTTGACACTAATCTTAATCTAATCTAATCTAAACTCCTGCTACCTGTACACAGATACCCAAATACATGTCATCTAATATCACCATTATAAATTGTTTTGCAACCATGTAGTTACATTTTCCATATTTATTGTATGTCATTATGTCAGTATTTGCTTTCTACCATGCAACAATAAAAATGTCACTGAACTTTTGCTGTGTAATTGTAACAATGAGCACTCAAACACACCAAACCAACAATAACAAAAACTGATTTTGAACTGGCATATCTGTTATTCGCATATCTTTCGAACAGTTAGTCCGATGGATTTCAAACTTGACAGGCGTTTTACTACGGGCACGAGTGGTGCATTGCCGAGTTTGACGTTGTTTGGATTAGAAATGCAAAAGATATGGGTAAATATATCGGTAAAAGAAGCACACATTGGCTTTTGCCGCTCTAGCCACTGGCCACTCTGGCTCACACTGCACACTGAGTGGCCACTCCCCAAAATAAACATTCTGACATTAGAGGGTTTAAAAAATATCTGAATATTATATTTTATTCACGGCCATCATTTGTAGTAGCCTATTCATCAACTGTTTGCTCAAGCGTAGCGTTTTCTCTGAGTTCACTGTATAGCCTGCTCCCTGAATCGTCGCGCTTATTCATTTGTGGATGTTAACTGAATCTGTAAGTCCGCTACACTGTTTATTCTGAATATTATATTTTATTCTGGTGCGCTTACCGTTATCGTTTTCTCAAAGTTTAGGCTCCTGTGTAATAGTAGCATAGGCTATTCAGCAACTCAAACATACCAAACCAAAAATTACTAAAAACAGATTTTGCACGGGCATTGCACACTAGTATAAATACAATTTAATGATAATAAATGTATTTTTCACAATATTTATGCCGACTTGAAATGCGCCCCCACGCATAAGTGAAAGTGTGTTATCCATTGGCAAAAGTGCAGGGTACTGCTGCATGGTTGTACCACTTTAAAGATGTGACCTTTTCATTTGTTTAAATACATAGTGGTGGCACACTCTAACAGGATGACTGTGCTCTGTTTGCTTTAGATTAGGATTCTTTTACCTGTAAAATTGAATGTTCCTGTTCTCTACTGTGCTTTGTGTCCTCTTTCCATTTTCTCTTGCTCCTTATCTCTTTAAGCTTTTTCATTCACACGTGGCTAACATCAGCACATAAAGAAATAACTATAGCAAACTTCTCATTGCACTTACGAGAAAAGGAAACAAACCTTTTTATTATTATTAGTTTTGATTAGAAAGAGCTAACTACACTCCAATGGACATTTAAGCAAGGTTATTTAAATCACGTTGGGTGCATGTAACTTTGTTAGAATGTTTTTTTGTTTTGTTTTAAACTGACAATATAAAACTACATTATAAGACATCAATGAGCATAAATCATATTTGTTATTGAGGAATATAGAATATTATTCATTCATTGAATTTAGAGAAGTTGGGTCTGGTTGTGGACTGCTGAAAATACACTATAATGCAGATTGACACTCTTATCTGTATCTGATTTATGTTATTTCCCATTTTTATTAAAGCATCGGATAAACGTGTGTACTGTGTAGTAAGGGCCCATTTTCAAGTACATTCTTTTTCATCTTAACATTATGATAATTCTTATTTTTTATGTTTGCTGATGTTTTGCTTTTATGTTACTTGGATGAAATAATGCTATGTAACTTAGTTTCACAGCTCCTACAAAACTGGAACAGACAGTGACACATTGACCTTCTCAGTTATATAATCTGAAATTGTGCATTTGCTTGATACAACAGGAAAAGCTTTTTAGGACGGTTACATGAGAGAGTGAAAGCAGAGGTTATGTTGATTGTTTTATATATTTATATATTGTATCACAAGCACATTTAAACACAAAGATACATTGCAAGCAGCTATTGCCTGAAGTGACTGTTAATGTAATGGCTGATTTCAAAACGGGGGCACTTAATGTGTCGAGTCTATTGATTCATACAGAGTTACTTGACTCTGTTGTGTGTTATATATTTTAGATGGCCAGTACAGCTTACAGTTTACACCATCAGCAAACATTAAGTAGACTGTCTTCTCTCTGTGTAAGAATAATGATTAAATCTCACATGTAGGCTTTATTAAAATTAGCAGGTGGTAGAACTGTAAAAGTACCTTTTTTTTTTTTGTCCAGCCTTTTTACATTCACTTTAGACACAGCTGATATCTGTGTACATTAATCCCTGCCCAAAATAAAATGAAATATTCTGTTGGTTGTTTTATTTATAAAATTCATTGGACAGAGGTTAAAAAACAGTTTCTATGCTCCTTCGAAATTCTGTTTCCATCTCAATAAAAAAGCTGCGAGTTTTAGTGCGAGCTCATGTAGGCATGTCTGCTCCAAAATACAACATTAAAAAACTATCTTTGTGGGCAAATGTGTTGCCCTGGCCTTGTGGTGACTTGGAATTCCAAGGGAAATCGGATATACGTGTTTAGACGTAGGTCAGATGTCCTGATGTCGGATATGTATCTGATTTAAAACAACATTTGAAAGTGGCTCAGAAAGGATGCAAATTTTTTTTTACACGTGTGCAACATATTCCGATTTGTGTGTGTAACAGCCTAGACCCCATTCATTTGAGAGTTTAACACTGCCTGAGTCATTAGATACATGTGTTTTAACTATAAAAGTTGGGATTATGGAGTGCTTCTGAAAGCCTCTGGTTAAGCTCAGGTCACAGACACTTAAAAGGTGTTAGGTAGAAGGAGGCCATACACCTGCATCCTGGCGTGGTGACTTCTGCTGTGAATTTAGCTACCACTAGGTGTCAGCACTTGCATTAATAAACTGTAAAAAGGTCCTCACTAAAATGTAACCATCTTGCATATCAAGTGATCTAGCATGTGACTGATGGTAAAAAGGTCCTCACTAAAATGTAACCATCTTGCATATCAAGTGATCTAGCATGTGACTGATGGTGTTCATTGATATGCCACACTAGAAAGAGTCGTTCTCATCTGAATGTGCTGTTTTGTTTTAGAGTTCATGGTTTAAGGGTAAATTGGACCACATCACTCTCAGTTAGCTCAGTTTAGACGGCTTATAATGGAAGCATGTTTTTTTAATCAAATAGAATACATTTTGTTTAAATAAACCCAAATTCACCCAAAAATGTCTTGTTTATTATTATATATTATATATTTTTTCTTTAACACAAAGCTCTTTTGAATACAGTAGTTCATAATGAGTACTAATGTCAATCAGTTTGTTCCTCAAACTTTTGTTTTATGCTGCTTTTATGTTTTTGTTTTTTGTCCTTGAGACTTTGCTTGACTGATGTGATAACAATATGAACAGTGGTTATATGCCAAAGACCAGTGTACAAATTCTTCTAAGTATATATTTGTGTGTTCTATGGAGCAGCATATGTGTTTGGAACGACAAGAAGAATAGTAAACAATGACATCATTTAAACTTCTGGGTGAACGGTTTCTTTAATCCGGCCCATTTATGGATTTCTCCGATTTTTCAGTTACTTTTATTAACCTAAATCTTAGAATCTTTGGTTTGGTCTCGGAATGACTCTGTGCTGAGAATCAATCATGATAGAAAAAAAGCAGCAATAAAACAATTTTTATTTACAATGGCGTTTGATTACAAATGCCAATTGTTGTTCTCAAATCAACCGGGATTGTGATGTTTTCCAATAGGAGACACACAAATTAAAGGCCGTTGTGCATTTGTCAGTTTTTGGCGGTGAGGAGGAGTGACTTGGTTTGAGCCACAATGTTCCCTGCAAGCCAAACTGAACTGAAGTTTCAGGCAGTCTTTTTATTGAATACTATTTCTTTTTCCCTCTGTAGATTAAATGAAGGACTGTGATTTTAAGGCTGGCAATATGGTTTAAATTCTCCCTAGTCCCTCTTTTATTCTGGATTTGACTTTTAGTTTAGTTTAGTTTGACTTGAAATCTTGGCCGTTCCATTATTGGTTTTGTCAGTGTAAAGCACCCCATTTATAAAACATGTTACTCGGTCACTTTCATGGAGGTTATAAAATTTCCATTCGAATCCTGTTAGCCCAGCAGTTTTTAAAGAAAGCAGAGAATCCTCCCTTTTATTGTTCGTGCCATATCAGAATCATCTAAGGCTAAATTACCACTCATCTGCTGCCCTTACATTTCTCTGTGCATGAGACTCATTTCACCCTTTTTATCTCTTTAATTCTAAATAAAGGTTTAGCGGATTGTCGCCTGAAGAATTATAGCATAGGACAAGCTTTGCTTCAGGACATCATGCGGCGACCCAACATGATATTTAAATTGTTAATCATACAAATGTCAACACAACTGGCCTTAAATCAAAAATTAAAATGTATTAATATTACCATGAACTCCTAAGAACAATATGATAAATTGATGTGGCATGACATTTGATGTTGAAATTTTGATTCTAGTACCGCTAATAGTATCTTTGTTTTTTTTATTGCAGTCACTCATTGATGTGGTCGGTTCAAGACAAATACTACTTTTTGCAGTAATTAGTAGTGTAACTAATTTTCAGTTATAATATTACAGTTACCACAGTTGCCTCAACCGCTACTGATTTGAAATCCAACAATCCAATCATTCCTAGATCCATATACTTTCACGAATCATGACTTGTGCGTGTGACGTCACCATTCCAGCAAGCTAGCTTGGAATATGGAAAAGCTTACATTCAGTGGCTGGAAATATTGACATTACTTAGTTTGTATGACAAGAACACCATTGCTAAATCAAGTTGTGGCATACTTTACTCTGGCATTTCATGGCTTGCCCATCCACATCCTTTTGATCCTGATATACATTCCCACCTATTATCAAAAAGCTTTCTTGAAAACAAAACAAGTTTCTTACGACCTTGTGTGAATTATTTTGACAACATAGGCTGAGATATAATCATATGGGTAACAGGTGAATAGCTACAATTAGCATCAAGCTACACAAGACAATTGACGAGATAAATACTACGCTACTTAACCGTAAACCACCATTGATTGCTTGTAATAATCTTCCTCTGAGTCATAACAGCGATCAGGGAAGTGAGAAAACAGGGCGACAGCACTGAAAGCAAATATTCTCACCAGATTGCATAATTCAGTGGAAAATGAATAGAAATTATGATTTGTTCTAAAGCAATATGAGCTAAATTATTTAAATATACCCTGCTAACATTCACAAAGAGGCGCACATCCGAAATCAGAATTTTGAGGGAAACTTTTAAGGAGAGGTTTCACTTGAATTGAGGTGACCTTGAATTGTCGCTACCAAGTGACCGTTCTGTTTGCACCAAAATCCTGTAGAACTTGATTGGATGCATAGCCTTAACACATCAATAATGTTTTTTTTCCTCTCCTCTACAGGCTGATGTCAACTTGTTTGAACAAAAGAGGGAAAAATAGTCGAGGGAGCTTTCACACAATATTTGATTGTGGATTGAGGAGAGCATTGCATGATCAATGAGTTAGTTTAAACCAAAATCTTTTGCGGACTGTAAGGTCCAAGGGCTGTTTAAATGTTGTGTATGACGTGTACTGGCCAAACCAAATGCTATTGTGAGCTGGTTTTAAAGTATACTATCATTTCTCCACTTAGTACATCTTCAGAGGTTTTTTACCGTCCCTCAGACACTCTTTCACAAGCCACAGTGAAGAACTTCACGTCTTCATGAACACAAGAATAGACCTTTAAATATTTTATTCAGTTTGACAATTGCTAGGAAGAAACTAGAAAAAAACTTGACTCAAGAAACCTCTTGATCTTTATGACAGTGATTACCTTGAAGGTAAAATAACATTTCGGTCTGGTTTTGTGTGCGTCTGGGCTGTAGAAAATGGAAAATTGTTTTAGTCACTCTCCATCTTCGCCAATGCTGAAGATCTATTCTGGGGACAAGCACTGCAGTGTTTACTCAGGCAGTTAGGCTATCACAAGTCACCCCACTGGGACTCAGTCATTCTGTCTCACAGATAAAGCTCTTTTGTTTCCCCTGCTATCAAACCTCAATTCTGATAGACATGGAGGAGTGCAGCAATTTGTGTTTAGAAACCAACTAAACTCGGGTGATTGCATTTGTAACCGTTTTTTTAATGTAAATGGTTAATAGTTAGTTACATGTTTTCTCAGACATTTGTCTGACTTCCATTGATTTGAGCAAGGAAACTAGCTATATAGAAATAAAAATATCATAGATACTTGATGGGCCGTTTTTGACTTGGGCCAGTAAACAACCTCCCAGAAAACCCTAGCTACTGCATATAAACATCCTAAAAACTCTCAGATTACTTAATCAACACATAGCAATGCCCTGGAAATATAGTGCAATATAGCATTGTGCAATATAGCATTGTGACTGTGACTTTTACAGGAAAAAGCACACCCATATTTTCTTTATTTGTTTTAAAATGTAAAAAAATATATTGTACTTATAGTGTCTTTCACCCCCTTTTTTCTTTTCTTCAAATCTACAGGTTGATTCATGGTGGTCAACTTTTAAATGGTTTAGCTGGTCCTACCATTATGAGTGCTGGCCCTCTCCTGTCTACTACTTGGTTTGCTCCTGATCAGAGGGCTACAGCCACCGCTGTTGCATCACTTGTTGGCTACCTGGGGTCAGCCTGCTCCTTTCTGATTGGTCCATTAGCTGTCCCTGCACCCAATGACACTGAGAAATTGGGAAGCACAAGTACCATCTACTGGAACCAAAACCACATAGGAGACAGGATACAGTTTGTGCTTTACGCAGGTACAGTGTATTCAGCAGTTTGTTCTATACGCAGGTACGGTGTTGTCAGCTGACAATCCAGCAACAGCATTCATTCTGAATCAATATTAAATTATTTTAAGCATTTGCCATAAAGAAAAGCAATCACAAGAAAGCCATCCATGGTGGCTCTCCAAATACCACAATCAAGCGTCTTAACGTAGTTTGCGTTCACCTCGCCATAAAGATTGCCTCGCATTGTTCTGCTTAACTGATTCAGAAAATTAAAACATTTAGAGAGAGAGAGAGAGAGAGAGAGAGAGAAATCAAAGAGACTCTGTTTAAGTTGAAAGATGTTGCCTTTACTTTCACAAAAAAAGATTTGCTGGTAGTTTAGAGGTCATTGTGACACTTACTGCAACATTGGGCATCAAGATGCAGCCACATGCACTGGATGTTGACACACTCCTTGAAGAAGAAAAACTCTTAAGATTCAGTGCTGCATGCTGAGTCGAATGATTCCCAATTTATACATGACGGCCATTTTGTGTGTTGGCCATTTAGAATTTTGTCGTAAAATTCTATATTTTACAAATGCATTGGCGTATTGTTACGAAATTTGGTAAGTGTCGTCGGCACCATGCCCTGAAGGTACAGAAAATTTTTGAGTAGCGCCACCTTGTGGTCAAAAATTATAATATTTAAAAAAATGCTAATAGCTTTTGATTAATTTTGCCTATTGAAATTAAATTGGTTTGAAGTCATAGATTCTTTAGGTCATGCCAGGAACATATACCAATTTTGCCATAGTCTGCTGAACTTCCTGTCCACCATTTTTTTTTCAAACTCCTGGACCGTTTGTCCGATTTTCACCAAATTCGAGTTAGAACATCTTCAGCCCATGCTGGCATAACGTTATAGATTTCGTGTCGTTAGACGAAATTGTTTTTGTGTACCGCATCAGCAAATTTGATGGCATAATGCCAAACTGCATCTGGCTGTTTTCTATATTGACATTTATGTGTGTAATTGTCACCCAAAACTGACCACACCAGATCAATATGGTATCACCACCACCTATTGGCCAAAAGTAATGAGTAATTATGGCACATTACAAATTATTGTATTTATGGCCTTTCAACCATTTTGCGTTACATCATCTCCAAATGTCTTTACTCATTTTTGCAGTTGGTCTGATGCTCCATGCCTTGATTTTTAGATCCTCAATCTGCCTCTGTGGTGCTTGGCCCCTTAATTGCTGCTTGCAGCTATATTTTCTTATTAATCACAGTTAAAAATACTAATATTAATGTTTTTGTGGAAACTATGAAGGAATTTTTTTTTTTTCAAAATTCTTTGATGAATAGAAAAGCATTTATTTGAAATACAAATCTTTTGCAGTATTATAAATGTCTTTACTGTCACTCTTGATCGAATTAATGTGTCTTTGCTGAATAAAAGTATTCATTTATTTCATAAAATCTTACTGCCCCCAAACTTTTGAATAGTAGTGTATATCTTATTACTGTAATGTTAAATTTGCTTGATAAATCTGTGCTTGATGACAGAAAGGACAGATTTATAGAAACGATATTGTAGAAATTAAGTAGCTGAATAAAAGTGGGATCTGTCCAAGGAAACTGCACCTATTTTATCATGTGGACAGTGCCCAGGAGGACACAAAATTTAGGAACTCAACCTGAATCCTATGCTGGCATAGTCAGTGCATCTGGTTTTGCGATACTGTGTGCCAACAGGTTTTTCTATTTTATTTTATTTTTTTCTTGGCTACAGCAGTGCCAATACTGAACTTGGTCACACCGTCACAAATTCCAGCCCTGGATGAGCTCGTTGGAAAGCAGGAGCTTTTCGTGGACTAGGGTTAATGAGCTGATCAGTTGTTTCATTGTGCATTTCCTCCCTCTACAGAATTGTAATAAATCTGCTAGACTCATGGTTAACGCTAGATTAATGTGAGCCATCTAATGACCGTTAATGATGTTGGTTCTCTCTCTCTCTCTCATTAATTTGAATTTAGTTTCTGAAAATTGCACTGAAATGCCAGACGCGTTAAGCTCTTGTTCTAATTACCAGAGATAGATTAAGTCTGAATCCGTAAAATCTTTGTCAGATTTGATGTTGACACTGTGGCCGCATGGTAAATGTGTTTTTGTGAACCTGCAGAGTTTGGGATGATTGCAGCACTTTTCGTGGCTGTGCTGTTCTACTTCCCCTCCAGGCCGCCCATCCCTCCAAGCGTGGCAGCGGCTAGCCAACGTCTCAGCTACAGGAGCAGCATCTGCAGGCTGCTGAGGTATAATGCTGATCCTTCTTTACTAGACTGATTCAACTGTTTTGAAAAGAGAATTGTTAAAGGAATGGAGGTTTGGAAGTAGGTATAGTTCAACCGAAAAGTCTTCTACACTTACACAGAGAAGTAACCGTGCACAAACTTAATTGGTTCTTGTGTCTGTCACATCAACCTAGGTTAAAATCCAGATGCACTGAAAACTACAGTATATTGGTCAATTTCTTGAATAATAACTTTGATCTATTTCACACAGAGCAGGTTTAGAAAGGTTCGAATACACTAATGTTTAAAACGTTTGGGATTAGTAAGATATTTAATGTATTTAAAAAGAAGTCTCTTATGCTCACCAAGGCTGCATTTATAATATTTGTAGCATTTTTTTTTTTTACAAAATAAATCAAATTTTATTCCTATCAATTAAAAAAGCAGCAATTTTCAGCAGCCATTACTTCAGTCTTTAGTGTCACATGATCCTTTAGAAATCATTCTAATATGCTGATTTGGTGCTCAAGAAACGTTTCTTAACACAGTTACACGATGCTGCTTAAAATATTTGTGGAAACTTTGATAAATAGGAAGTTCAAAAGAACAGCAAATAACAATTTTTATAACTATGTGTGTCTTTACTGTCACTTGTGATCAATTTACTGCATCCTTGCTAAATAAAAGAATGAATATCTTTCAGAAAAAAACTCCTTGATCCCAAACTTTTGAACGGTACTGTATATTTCACAAATCATATTGAATATTTTAATAGTACATTTTTTTTCTTTTTGCGCCTTGAATCACTAAATGTACTATGGAAAAGAGCAACTGGGAAATATTCTGCTAAAAATCTGCTTTTGTGTTCTTCTGAGGACAAACCATCAGTCTGATCAATCCAGCTGATTCCCAATGGCATAATTAAGAATGAATTAATGATAAAAAATAAAATAAAAAATAATAAAAATTTAGGGTGAACTGGCCCTTAAAAAATCCATTTGCAAAAATTCCAAAATTTGAAAAGACCTAAACACAATATTTACTGTATTTGAAAATGGATTCAGACCATGAATATCAGTGTTCCTCATTGCCATTCAAAAGAGATTTTGCACTGGATATATCTGCACATGGGCATAAAAATGGACATCTGTTATTTCATGCCTTTTGTAACTTCCACATACTGTCTCCCTGATCTCAGCAAGGTCTTTGAAATTTTACTATTGCTTTTACAAAAGAGAATCTTAATGAACAGGGTCTTGTCATTTTGCCACTCACCATATGCTGCAGTTGTCATTTAATACACATCAAAGACAAGATCCTCTCCCTGCAGATTAATTACCAAGCCTTATGATGTCACAATCTGACCATCCTTAATTAATAGAACATCTTAATCTGTACATTTAGAAACACAGTGAAGTCCATCAAGGCCAATGTGACCACAGTGGCATTTTTACAGCTAGTCAGAACCCTCTTGATGTAGTCTCACCCGCAACGCTTGGGGAGGTTGATATTCACAGATCAGAGGAAGCCATCCCTGCTTTGAATGTGTTCTCACACCAACACTAGAGAAATTGGCTGAAATGTGTGGACTGGAAAGAACTGTTGAACTTCCACTTTTGCCGGGAGTCTGCAGTCCGACCCCCTCCGAGGAACGCCAGAACTTTCCCTCTCACAAAGAGAAGAACACACATGAATGGACGGAGACTGTAATGCTGTCTGGAGTCCCTCCGATAGGCAGAGTTCCAGTAGCCGTTTCACATTTGTATCTGAATGAAGCAAGCAGCAGATTGGTAGAGCTTTGTAAAACAGCTAGTCCATAGGGACAGTTCACTGGATACGGACCATGATTGTATTTCACCCTTGTTTCTGAACTCCTAAGTCCTTGGCTCACCTGACTTGGTAAAGCTTCAACGTTTTTAAGCCTGATTTGTTTGTTGCGGAGAGCATCATTATTTCATTGTTCTTTTATGGGAACCATTATCCAGCATTTGATTACTGCGCTAACTGTGATGATAGAATTGTTTTAGTATTTATGAAATGTGTGTTAAAAATGACTTGCAAAATCCTCATCTTGGGGCATTAAATCCCAACAGGGCCTGCCAAGGACAAATAGCACTTAGCTGATGATCCTTCTGGCTTGATGGCTCCCCCAAATCTGTCAAAGAATGGAAAGAAAGGCTTTCTCATCATATCCCATAAGCTAAATAAGCTCTTGGTGGGGGAAAAAAAGCTGCATAGATATCGATCTCTCCCAGCTGTGAGGTTAATGAAAGGGGTACTGTTGGGAGAAAGGGTTCTCCATCAACACCTTTTTTTGCTATTGCCTTCTTCAAGGCTACCGTAAGACACTGAAAGCATGCTTTGATTTCCCCACACACTTTCCTGTTAATGTTAATGGATGTTGATGGTAGAACTTTCTTCACATCCAACAATTCATACCTGGAGGTACTTATGAGTAGCATGACATGCAAATCGAATTTTCTACGTGTGCATTAATTTGATAGCCAATACGTTTTTTAACTTATAATTTAATCTGCATCCTCCTGGTCACTTTTAATAAAGCATATTTTTTATAGCTGATTTTCTCTTTAAAAAGCCTTTATAAAGAATCCCACATACTTCAAATCTCAATAGATCCGCAGCTGACAAGTGCTAGAAACTTTTTTAGGTGAAGTTTCTAAATCCAAGTGTCAATAAACATTAAAACGTTGAAGAAATTCCAGGTTGGCAAAACCTTTCTTTTCCTGGAATCCCTTGATGAATTTTTTTAAAATTGTAATTCAGTAACTTCCACTTCCCGTAGTTCCAATCCAAGTTCTAGTTCAGTTACCTGTGGGGTGCGGCCAATTCAATTAAAATAATTTCATACATTTTAAAAATATTACACAAGCCTGGAGAAGTCTAATCTGTTTGTGCTTTTGCAGAGAGCATCATGATCGCAGCTTTATGGGAACCATTATCCAGCATTTGATTACTGCGGTAAAACTGGTGATAGAATAGTATTAGTGTTGATGGACTTGGTGTTAAAAATAGCTGTGTCTTGCAAAATCTTAATTTTGGGGCATTAGTTCCCAACAGAGCCGGCAAAGGACAAATGACACTTAGCTAATGATCCTTCTGGCTTGATGGCTTACCAAATCTAGGACAGGATGAGGATGGTGCAATCAAACTAAGTGTGAAAACAGCCTTAAAGACTCAAATACCAAGAACCAAACGGCAACAAGTAAATTCCATAATGCACACCGCTTCAAAAGATAAACAAAGCATATTTGGAGAGCCCTCATGATTGGTTCCAGATGCTTTGTTGTTTTATGGGGGGGGACATTTCCTCTCGGGTAAGTCGGGGAGACACTGTTTGAGACACTTGAGGGAAAATAGGTAGAGAAGTGAGTAAGAAGGACCGGTGATTGTAATTGGGTTGGGAGTGATTGGAGGCCTGCCAGAAGGAACACATAAAGGCTGATTCCACAAAGGGATTCTCAACTTGTTTCAGTCTTGACTACAGCAATCCTGTGACTAGATAGATGCTCATAAAAATGCTAATACATGAAGAAAAAGCATCCCTCATTGCAAGGGATTTTTGTATCAGGGCAGGATTACCACAAAATTGACAGTACACTAAACCATGCACTGTGCTTGTATTAATGCTTAGAGCAACTTTGTTGTTGCTTAGCTTCAAGAAGGATTTGTTAGCGAGTCTTATAGATACTGCTATGAAAGAGTAAAAGTGCCCTACAGATATAGGATTTATTAAAAACATGCAGATACTGATTTTATGCATAGCTTCGCCCAGTGGGTCAGTTAGATTTAATTGGATGTTTAAAACAATTCCTACTTGGCAAAGCTCTTAATATCAAGGTATATTACCTTAAGTAAGCTGTCTGTTAACATTGCATATTCTCAGTGGCATTTGTTCAGTTGCTGCAGGACCTCAATAATTAAAAATAACCTCAATATATTTTTCATGACAGTGTTTTTTATTTAGTCAATTCATTATCATGTCATATTAATTAATTTAGTCAGTGTTACTCTAAAATGGCATTTGGATTAGCAAATTTCAAGTTCATTTTGTGCAGATGAAAGTTGTATTATTATGTTAAGAGGACACTCAAATGTGCAGTGTCCTCTTAAGAATCACATTCAGTTGCGGAAGCTAAATCAATGTAAGTCAGAACGCCGCTTATGGGCATGTCTTTATTCTAGCATTGTGCTGGCCTGATATCTGCTTCTGCTATCAGTTCCGTCTATTTCCCGTATTAAGGAGATTTTTATCTCTCTGTCACTGGGCTGCAAGGTAGGATAAATGTTTGGTGACAGGCTGGAAGGCATAGGAAGGAAACTCTACAATCTGTGTGAGATGCACAAGCTTTGATGTTCAGTTTCATGACAGTTTTGAAAGATCTGTTGCGCTTTCAAAAATGTGCGTCGTACACAGTCAAAATACAGCCTAGTATCTTAAAGTGCTTTCATAGTGTTCTATTTCTAAAAGTTTTTATCAGTCTACATCAGTCTTTGCTTTTTTTTTCAGCAACATGCGTTTCCTGATGATAGCGCTCGCCTACTCCGTGCCCACAGGGGTTGTTGCCGGCTGGGCCGGCGTGTTGGACATGATTTTAACACCTGTTCAAGTCAGCCAGGTAAGACATATTCCATGCTCCATGCTGGGCCCATTTAGATGTTACATTATTTCCTGGAAAATAAGTATTGCAAATATACAAAGACCTGTTTATTTTTGTCTGTTTCCATGTGTGTCTATGGTGGGTCATTGCAGCCTCATACATATTATTTTTTCCAATCAATTATGAACGAGATGTTGTCATTTTAAAGTATATTTCCCATTCAAGATGTTATGTTGTTAAAACAATAAATTTTCTCATTAAAACGATATATTATGTCATAAAAATGATATGCTTTTCCTGTTATAACGAGATAATATCGTTAAAATGACATATTTTGTACGTGACGTGATACCATGGGAAACAGGCCTTTATCACAGTCCGCATATTGTCATATCCGGCTTCGGTTTGTAGCGTAATCGAATCTCCTCCTGCATTATTGTCAATGGTCGGTTGCCAATTTTGAAAAGAAAATCAAACTAAATTGGCTGAACTTGACAATAAAAATCAGCATTCAAACGGTTTAATTAGCCTCACATGATAACCTACCATGTGTGGGTCATTTCATTTTCATTTTAATGTGCAACGTTTTGTGAACGAGGCGTTAGCCAGCACTGCTGGTATTGCCACAGTCATGAGATAAACAAGGATCTGCACGCTGCTCAAGTTACTGCCAGAGGAATAATTGGAATACACTCTATTTAAATTAAAAGTTTAATGCTATGGTTTTTATTTGATCGTTTAAGATGATCAAACCAGTTATTTTTGAATAATCGACATTTCTTTATTTGAACGACTTCAGTTTTAACACTTGATGATTGTATCGGAAACTAAAGTCAGAGCATGAAAGCAATCTGAACATTATTATTATTTAATTTGTACAGTCTTTACTCATAATTAATGTTTTATTGAACGCATAACCTGAATGAATAATGCTGTGTCGTGATATGTTGTTTGAATTCAATTCTTGCATTTATTTAATAAAAAAAAATGGTCAGACTCTGAAATATTGTGCACACATATACAGTAGGCTTGTGTGCACCCCTTTAAATAATGAAATATGCGTCGGAATAACTTCTTTTTTTTTTTTTATCGTACCCGACTAATGTTTATAAACTGGTTTCTGTTTCGATTAAGTATCTGTGATAAACTGAACATCAATAAATCACAACAAGCCTGTGCTATGGGCATTGCCATTGATGCAGGCTACAGCGCAAGTTATTTTACTATATTATTTTAAGCTTCCACTTTTTGAACGTGGACTGTGATGAAGGCCTATTTCCCACGTTGTCACATCACATACAAAAATATGTATTTTTAATAATATCTCATAACGGGAAAAGCATATGTCGTTATTTCAAGAAAATATATTGTTTTAACAACACATTATCTCGTTATTACAAATACATATTGTTTTATCGACATAGCATCTAGTTATTACGAGAAAATATTTTGTTTAAATGACATCGTTATTAAGAAATAATTGAGTGGAAAAAATATGTGGCAGAAATGCACCACTGTATGTTTCAATAGTTGTGTGTGTCTGAAGCAAGCATTTATCAGATGTACAATTCATTTGCACCTTCTATAATTTTAATTATGATCAAAATGAAATGTAATTCCTATGGATTAAACAGTTATTGACTCATAATTAACCCTGGGTGTACAAACACACATTTAAGTATGTGACTGGAAACTCTGACCAAACTCTTTGCCTTTCTATACGTTCTCATTTTAAAAAATACTGGCAGGCCTGAATGGGTGGACTTTGAACTTCAAAACAAGCTGTTAAAAACATCTAATTACAGTTTTGAAAATCCAAAGCTATCCACATGTAGATATCCCTCTCCAGCCGTTCCCTCTCCAAACAGAGCTCATCAGAATCTAATCAAACATACATGCTCAAGACGCTTTTATTTGCATACTCACAAAAGTACTTCATCTTTGATGGGCCAACCACAGCTTAATGAGATGAGCTCTCCACCTCAGAGTTTCTGATTCTCCCCAGACTCCTCACATTTGCATCTGAAATGTGAGAGTTATGGGCCAAAGCAATCACACAACATTCTAGGCCCAGCTGAATTACTGGCTTGCAGAGACAAAAATGATGTTTTCAGGTCTTGTAGTTTCTTTTCCAGGTAAACTAAGTGGTCTTTGAACCGGTATTGGAAAGAAAATCATGCAAGTTGAAGATAGAATGCCTTTTTTCCTTTTTCCACAATATGTCTCTGCTGCCAAAGCCTTTGTGAGACTAATTTGAATTTTCCGTCTTCTCATTCAAGTTTCAGTTCTTTTTTTAACAACAATTGAAAGCGTACGCCTCAAGCATTTCTTTCTCCCATTTTAATATTTCACTATTGTTAAGAAAGTCTTTTTTCCTAGTCATTTAAATTTGGTTGAAGAGAAATAAGTGTTATCAGACAAACTGAAATTATATATAGATTTCTAGAAGTCAGATTGTTATAAAAAAAGAAAAAGAAACGGCAGTGCTCAAAAGGCAGCAGTGTATTGATATTCTTCAAACATTCTGGGTGGGGATTTGTTTAAAATCCCAAATTTTAAGTATTAAACTTCACCAATTAATTCAGCCTGGATCACTTTAAAAACCTTGCATTGAAAAACTAAATTAGGATTAACGGCAGAATTCATAAACCTTTGCTTTGCTGGTAACACTAGGTTGTTTGTATTGTATAGTAAAGTGTTAGCAATTTACTTAACATTGAATGATTTCTCTGTTAACTTGGATAGAAAGCAATAAAAAAAAGCATCCAGTCATGGTGTGAAAGTTTATATTCTGAAGATGTTAAGTTCTTGCATTTTGATTGGTGTCAGAAGTCACTCACAACAAATAAGTTTCCACGTTCGCGCACAGTAATTTGTGAGTGGAATGGTAGAGCCCTGAGGCAGTAAGCATGTAGAGCAGTACAACAATAATTAGCTGCAAGTGTATAGTCCACCGCTACATTAATCAATCTTGTCTAATTGCTTCATTAATGGTGAATGGCCATTAAGCCTGCGCACAATGGCTGTGCACTGATTAGGCAGACACCCTTTGCCCTTGGAAAGTCATCATCAAATTCGAGGTGCTTTGCTGGGGTTGAGAAACATTAAGAGTGACTGTTTTATTAAAGCTGCCTCAAACTGCTCAGAACAAAGGCTCGCTTTTGTGATTTCGCTAACTATTTCGCCCTGATTAAAACTAAAGGGGGAGCAATGTGGTTTTCTGATTTTAAAACCCGTTTTAGTGAGTGATGCCATGTTTTTTGTCCCTAAGGCTTCCGGTGTAAACATGTTAGTGAGTTAAGATCATCAAACACGGAGATCTAGAATACCTGAAGAAAGTGTTTGCTTTCACAGAAGTATTCAATATATATCACAACAGAACATATAACAAAAACATCATACATTATATTGTATCAGTATAAAACAGTAACATCAATGTAATTGGGATATATGCCATATCATTCTCCACCTTGTCCCGAGTCCTAACCATCACAATGCACTATACTGCATGACAGAAAAATTTGAATTTGAAATAATGCTTTGGACACACATGATTTACACTTTTTTGCCAAAAGAAATAGTATACTAGGGTATGAAATTGCAGCGTTACACCAGTAGACATAAATCACAAAATGGGAAATAGCAATTAATACATCCAGGGGCGCTGGAACCAGGGTTCTCTCTGCCACTTCACTCCCCCCAAACTTTTAGCTCACATCCCCATTGGCAGATATTAAAGTATGAAGTTTACCTCTGCTGCCTCGCATTAAAATCGCATGATATATGACATTCTGATATATGGTATGGTTCACTGTAGTTTTAGCACTTGATGTTTATTTCAAATAGATAAAGATGTCTTTTACCCCTGCACATGTATCCTCAGACCTTATAAGTCCCTGGAGCAGCGGTGTCTTAATGCCGTTTAGTGAGAATGTGCTTGTCCAGACAGGGACAGTGTTAAGAAGGTGGAGAAATTGAAAATGCACAGTGCTGAATCTCCACACATGCTAAAATCACCATCACATTTGATTTTGTGTATTCTAGAACAATGAAGCTGTCAAATAAATGTCACGTTCATTTGTGCACAAATTAAGTGTCACACAAATCACACCGCACGAGACTGACCTTACATTTATGAGAAATATCCAATCAGTGTGTTATTGACCATTTTAAAGAAATGGAATGAATTTAAATGATTTTTGAACGTGTCCTGATGTTCAATTGTTGATATTTCAGTTCATCTTGGAGGTGAGCTCTACTACATCCCAAAATGACATTGAATTGTTATATTAGTTAGCATGAATCATGAATGTTAATTAGCTACTGTGACACTCTGGTCTAGGAAGATTAGCTTGCAATGAGAGAAGTAATATTCATGAGCCCAGTGTTCTCTGAATAGTGACATTACAACCCAGCCAAAGACAGTGAGATTCAGCTCAGATTCAGTGGTTTGTCCTGATAGCCACAGGTAAGAAGTACATAAGGAAATGTTCTTTTGTGTAATAAGTGTTTTGCTGAAGGTGCTTTCCTGTGCAGTGACAGTCCGGTGCATTGGGTGAGAGATGTTGTGCCAGCATTCTCCTCTCCATCACCACCCCCAGGGGATCAAGGCTGATACCCAGACAGAGCCAGCATTTCTGGGCGCTCTTGTTAGCTTCGCTAGCTATCAAATCAGCCAAATCAAAGTCTAGAATCTTTTTTCTCCTTGCATGGTATATTTTGGTGGACGAGAGACGAGTGTATTTTAGAACTCTTTTTATTGGCAGAGAAGATATAAATGAACGGGTCATATGTAGTTGTTTGATAGAACAGACTCAGTCAAGTTGTTTTACTAAATAACTTTTGCCGAATCAATACTGTTGCAGTGTTTCCCATAGGATTTTGTGAGATTATTGGGGGTGGACCTCGGTCTTTCGCACATGTAGAGATGGAGTTCGCTGCATTCACTGTAACCGAGCTGCTCTGAGACACTAAGGCTACGTTCACACTGGGAGTCTTAGTGCTCAATTCCAAATTATTGCTTGGATCTGATTTTTTTTTTTTTGTATAACTGTTCACATTGCTGTTTTAAATGGGGCCAATATCAGATTCAAGTGTGAACAGATCATGATCCTGAACTGACCTGCATGCACAAAAGAATGATACACGCTATCGTACGGAAGTAAAGACAGAGAACTTTAAAGTAAGCGATTACGCGTTTATTTATTGTGATCTGCTGCGGAATCCAGCAAATTTATAAAAAAAAACAAAGATGAGGGTGCGAAAAAAGAAAGCAGAGTTTATGATACGAGGCCTCATGTTTTGCTTGTATATTGTCACTGTAATACTTATGAGCTCTGACACATCACTACCTTTCATTACTGTCTTGATAACTTCAGGTAAAATGTGCGCAGAATTGTGACGAATGTTGCTCTAGAGTGACATAAAAGTCGCATGAATTTGACTGTTCAGACTGAGGTCGCATAGCAAAACATCTGACCTGTATCGAATTTAGGACCACATATGGAAGTGGCCCAAATCAGAATTGAAAAAGATTAATTCCATGTGGTTTGTGCCGTTCACACTGTCATGACAAAAAGTCACACATGAGCAAAAAAAAAAAAAGGATTTGGGACATTATTTACTACTTATTATAGCAGCTTATGTACTTATTGAATTAAATCTCAACCTTTTGCGATTTTGATAAGTCCATATATATAACGCTTTTGATTTTAGTTAGTTTGACAGGTACTTTGCTAAAGCAGTAGCACAAAGCACAAATGTTTGAGACCTTAGTCTCCCAGACCTTATTCTTTGTAATTTAATGGTAAACACTGATATTGCATGTTGTTATATACAATATACACTGCTGTTCAAATTTTTTTTGTTTTAAGATTTGTTTGTTTTGAAAGGAATTAATACTTTATTCAGCAAGGATGCATTAAATTGTCCGAGAATGACTTTTATAATATTAAAAAATGTTTAATGGTATAATATATTTTTATTTAGAATAAATGATTTTCTTTTTAACTTTCTATTCATCAAAAAATCCTGCAAATTTTTTTTCTCACAAATATTAAGCAGCACAACTGTTTTCAGCTTTACTTAAGGTACTTCTTAAGCACCAAATCAGCATATTAGAATGTTGTTGTTTTTTTAAGGATTATGTGATACTGAAGACTGAAGGTTCAGCTTTGCCATCACAGAAATAAGTTACATTTAAAATGGTTATTTGAAATTGTAATAATATTTCACAATATTACTGTTATATATATATATATATATATATAAATAAATGCAGCCTCGGTGAGCTTGAGACTTCTTTCATAAGCAATAAAAAATATATTTTTTAATTCACCTTTGCTTGGACAAACAATATGTAGCCTTTTATTAGGTTCTCATATAGGAACTTTTTTTTGTATCCCTGCTCTTATCAATACTGCGGCTGACCTCAGCCATGCCTGACACAGACCCATCTGTTTTATGAAGTCTGCTGCTGAACCAGATTGCTCATCAAAGATATGTCCGTGGACAGCATGAAGTCTGCCAGTTTATTCCTCTCTCTGATAGACACAGTTGCTCAGACTGTAGACGCTCTTGGCTCACTCCCCATCAGGCTGCTTCATCACGAGTGATGTCCAGCATCACAAGCAGCGAATAATCCCCTCTGATCACACCTTTCTCTGTTCTGATAGGTGGACGCTGGCTGGATCGGGTTCTGGTCCATAGTTGGAGGCTGTGTGTTTGGTGTGGCCATGGCGAGGTGAGTAATGCCTGAGAAATTATGGTGATGTTGTCATGCATTTGAACTTGTTAACATTTACTGTACATGTATTGTCCAGTGACATGGAAAAGAGAAGTAGCAGACCCTTAAACATTAGTCACATAAGAATCCAGGAATGAGCTTTACTGACTAACAGCTGGGACTGTCAGCATGCTAAAACTCTCTCTAAATTCATCTCCGTTAAAGCACCGGTATTACAGCCATCAAAGCATTGCTTTTGTAACAAATCCACTGCCTTCAACAAAACATTTCAAAACAAATATTGTTAAACTCCTACATTCGCGTCTTTGGCCATCTCAGTGGTTTCAATAGGCGTCTCATTCATTCAACACCTTTAGTTACGCATCAAGGTAAAAATAGTTCAACTTTTATAAATGCGTCTCAAGACCACTGTTCTGTTTGCTCTCCATCCAGCTGCTTTGGAACTCTCCATACCAGCTGATAGCCTGTAATCGTAATTCAAAAAAGGAAACCGAAAGTTAGGACTGCGGATATGCAAACTGTAAACAAAGCTGCACTTGCTCTTACCATTTTCAAACAAGTCTTGCTCTCCATAGACGAATTCAATGAAAATCATCACAGATGAAAAATGAGAAGAGCTTTCTCTGTGTGCCCTCTGGATATTGTCATTTGCTTGCTTTTGGTACTTCCATTTTTCTTCTCATGCTAAGCTGAACAGCCAATCAGAGTGACAGGCTCACTGACAAGCTCCACCTCCAATTCAATATTTTAAGTAAAATTTACCAGCGAGGGTCGGAAAAAATATGTAGTTTTTCACAGCTAGTAAAATGATAACTTTTAAGACCAGCACTGGACTGTTTTAGGAGTGGGCTAAATGGCAGGTGGTAATCGTACAATGGCTACCAACTTCCACCTTTCAGCGAATCAATTAGGGCAAACGTCACATAAAATAATACATATGCATGAATATAACCCACGCATGGCACAGCTTGTGTGCTGAGCCACTGACAGAAAAAAAAGATTCCTGCGGAAAGAAGATATGAACAACAGAAGAAAAGTTGTTGTTTTTTCACACAAATATGCATTTTTATATATTTATACTTATTTATTATATATATATATATACCTAATTATTAAAGTTTCATGACAAAAATGCTAGAATGCTGACGTTTCTAGAAACTTTCTAAGGTTTTATTTAGCTTTAAAATGGTCTGATATGACTGTATCCCTGGCAACTAGGCATATAAACCAGTGTCATCCTTTTCAAATCGTTCCTACGCTCCTGCTGGAAAGACATTTATTCTGTCTTTGTTAGGCCACTTTTTTTTTCCTGGGTGTTTTGGATCCTCCCTGATCCCAAAGCTAATTTATTCTCTTTCTGCTAATTTATTAAAATCAGCTTTTGTTATGAACAGTGGGTGAAAATGCTAATGAAATGGTCACGTCGCACAGACTGATTAAGACACTGGCGTAGAGAAGAGAGAAAGAGCAAACTGTTGTCTGCAAAAAGCAAGAGATTTGTCTGTCCCCGATGACTAAATGTTTGCAGGAGGGCTCAAATCAGTACATCCAGTCAGGTTTTGCATTTTGAAAACCTTTTAATTAGGAAACTGCATTTAATCAATTGCCACATTGCTGTATTGGTTTTGGGGTTAGTACACGCATTACCATTAAGATAGGGAGGGACAAAGTGGGGTAAAACATCAATAAAGACTTTTGAGCTGCCCTTGTTGTGTGTTATTCAAATCGAGTCATGAGCCACAAGCCAAATGGGGATTGATAAAGCTGATTGAAGATTGCACACCCCGCCAGTTTCTTTGTCACTTGTACGTGTTAGCTTTTTTCTCATATTGGCTGTTCATTTGGGACAGGTTGCAGAAAGAAGCAACAGATGCCCCACTAAGTCTCCACGGCAGCACGGTCCTATTAGTGGTCGTTTGGCGAGTGATCTCTCGTTAATGGGCCCCTGTGAGTTACAGGGTCCAGCGCCCTCCCTGTGCCACGAATCATGCAGCAAATGCGTTAACATGAGTTATTATACACCACCAGCTCTCCGCCGCAGAGCGCATCCCTTTGGGTCAAGTCCATGCTTTAGAAAAATGGATGCATTAAAATCGAGATGCAAGGGCGATGGCTACACATTCTAAATGATGCGATTCCTGAGGAGGATATAATAGCCGCAAGCCCTCGTCAAAGACTCGTCCTCGTTCGCCGTTATGGTGGAGTTATCCTAGACGAGTGAATCTTAAGAGGCCGTCTCCGCAGGTCAATTAACGGTTTGTGGTGTGAGGTATACTGATCGGTTGGGCAAACACTGGGATGCCTGACAAACCACCAGACTTTAATTGTCAGACAGCAGTTCGGGAGGTAGGGGTGACATTGATTTTCGAATGAAGAAGGCGATGTTGTCGGGTCAAGAAAGTGAGGTTGACAACCGATTAAATGCTTTATATTTAAAGGGATAGCTCACCCAAAAATAGAAATTCTGTTCTTCATTTATATGTCGTTCTAATGTATGACATGTATTCATTTCCAACCCATGAGACTTTTTTCATGGAACATGAAAAGAGAAGTGTTGAAAAATGCCCACAACACCATAAATGTGTTGTAAAAGTAGTCTATACATCTTATAGGCATAATAGCATTGATGTCAAACCTAGAGTGGCACATTTTATTTGAATATATCGGAATGTTAATGAGATTTGAGAGCTGTAAAGATTTTCTGTGAATACCATAGGCTTCCATTGTATCGAGCTGCATGATACATTTCTCCATTAGTGTTCCACCGAATTTACAAATTCACAGGTTTGGAATGACATGATGGCAAGTAAAGGATGACAAAACTTTAATTTTGAGGTGAATAATTACTTTAAAAGGCATTAAAAGCCCATAAGCCATTATTAAAAAATAAGTCTTGCAACCCCGACACAACAAATAACAGCTAACTCCTCCATAAAGTGTTTTTATTATGATGGCTTTCATCTCTGTTGTGAGGAAAGGTGATGAATTACATGCCCTAGTGATATTGCTATGTATTGCTGCCATCATGTTAGAGGTGCTAAATTGTGTCTGATGCCTGATGAGAGGAGACTGTGTGAAGAACTTAGTCAGAAGCTATATTATATTGTGAGGATTTGTTTTGAGTTATCTCCAGTAGGCTTGTTTTTGAGGGACAAGATTTTTCGCGCGCGCCTGGTCTCTGACGTAGGTGCCGAAAATAAGATCTGTGAAAAAGTTTCACCTGCGCTTGCCTATAATTTGCCGCCTCTGTAGTTTTTGTTCTGTCACCTTTGAGCTATGACTCGAGATTCAAGTTTCACTCTCTCTCTCCTCCTGCTTTCTTATGTTTTCTGTTTTTGCCCTCAGGTTTGCTGACTATATTCGAGGGATGTTGAAGCTGATTCTCGTGCTGATGTTTGCCGGTGCATCCTTGGCGGCCACCTGGTTCACTCTCACCTGCTTGACCAGGCTCACCCACCTGCCCTCTACTAAAGGTACGCTGTGGTGAAAAGGACAGTATGTTCTGCCTTGTGGACATCCACAAAACTGTCAGCCCGCGGGGAGTCTGCTAGGCGAACAGCAAGCTGCAATTTTATCTGTGATAGGGAGCCAGAGGAACTCATTAAGTCCTGATCAATGAAGAGAAAAGGGGAGTGGGTATCTAGAGAAGCCGGCCTGAAACAAACATATGCCCCATAGATCAGCCAGCTCAGATATTTCCATCAATTATCATTTTATGGTTGGCACCTGACTTTTTTTTATCTGCTCTCTCCCAGAATTCCTGGCAGACAGAGCTTTCAGACTCATGGGCCATCTCTCCATCTGGCATGATTTTATATCGCACACGCATGTGCCGTTGCCATCCGTGCCTTCCCATGCCTGTCGTGATTCATATCACTCACTAATAAACACAAGACTATGTTGTGGCAACATCAATTCATCAGAACGTATTCTAGATGGAATCATTTTGCAAGGAATAACTGACAATGGACCTTCGCCTACCGTGTCCATGTAATCTAATGGTGCCACTCTCATTTAATCAAATTATACCATATATACCAGTACTTCCTTACATCCAGTGTGTCAAATTAACGCCAGCCACGAGCCAAATGTGCCTATGTTTTGTGCAGTGCCAGGTTTTTTTTGCTTCTCTTTCAGTCACTGCGACATGCAAGATGTCTCTGAATGGCATTCAATAAGAATTGCCATTGCTTAGAAGCAACAGTGCATGGTTGAATAAACACACTTGATTGTAAATGCAGTGCAAGCACTTTTCATAGGACATGCATGTAAAGAGTTTTCATGCTTTATTGCTAATAATTTTGTCTTGTATCTGAATGTTCTAAATAGTATTCAAATAATATAGAAATAATGATATTCATTGTGTAACATTATGTAAGGAATAATTGGCCATATTACTACCTTGACTTTTACATTTTTCAAAATGCAGTGGTGCCATTGTCAGTTCTTCTATTTATACCATGGTTACACGCATCTCAGATATTTCTCATGATTACAACTACGCTACATTGAAAAGTTGGGAATCATTCATAATGAACATGTTTATGAAAGCGCGTGATGCTTTTATTCACCAAGGTTGCATAAAATTGGTCAAAAATTGCACCACTGTTAAAAAGTTTTGGGTCAGTAAGTTTAAAGGTATTAATACTTTTATTCAGTACGGGAACATTCAATTGTTAAAAAGTGACAGTAAAAGACTTTTACATTGTCAAAAATGATCAAAAGAAGAATAGACATTTTTCTAACAATGTATCACGGTATCTATCCACAGAAATATTGGTATTAAACCGTTTTCAACATTGCTTATATTTCTTGAGCACCAGATCAGCATATTAGAATGATATTAGTAATGACTACTGAAAATCCAGCTTTGCCATCACAGGAATACAATGTTGAAATATAAAAAATTATATTTAACTTTGTTTAAAAAGTTTGTAAAATTGTGAAATATTATTTAAAAAATTAAGTTTTAATTAAAAAAAAAATGCATCCTTGGTGAGCAAAAGAGATGTCTTTCAAAATAATTGAAAAAAATTACCGACCCCAAACTTTTGAACGGTAGTGTACAATAAATCCATGTATAATGTTTAAATTTGATGGACTCCTTTTTTATGGTGATGCTGAAAAATGCAAAAATACCATGTTTTTTTGCAACATTTCTCGTAGGTGTTGTTCCCGTAAGTTTGTTTCACTTTTTATGTACCCCCACACCTCAAGCATCGAGGTATTCATCTATAATAATCTTTTCTTATTTACCAACCAGTCTTTTAGTTGTTTAGCCCATTTTGTAATGAAACCTAGTGTTTGCTATGTACTTTTCACTTACGCTGGCAGCTGAGGCTCTGATGTGCTTTTTCTCTTGTTTTTGTGCATTTGGGCCATCCTTTTCTCTTTGCCCTGGTTAGAACCAGTTTGGGTTTGTTTAAAACAGTACTGCGCGCCCACACATGGAGTAGCTTCTATCACTGAGAATGACAATAGACTGATGAGTTTCTATAGCAAGGTGTTTCTTTTTGCCAATTTTTTAAAGCAAAATTGGGTTTTGGAAATGAAAGTGTATTTAATATTGGAATAAAATACATTTTATTGCAATTTCCACACTTCATTAAACTTCAGCTTTGCTAAGATAATAAGAAAGATTTCTGTAGTACCAACTTCGCACATTATAATCATTACTTAAAGATGAGGTTGTAAGTGTTTTCGTAGTTGATTTGTGTAATGTCTGCTGAAATGGGGTTTGCCAGCGCAGGAAGAAAAAAATTTAATTAGAAAGGTTTTTTTTTACACTCAATCAGTTGCAAAGTCTTTCTCTTCCTGTTTAAAGAAGGTATTATTCTAGAAATGTATTTGAGATTCAGCCCGCTGTCTCACTTTTTCTCTCTTTTTGCTCCTTTAGCCACTCTCTACACCTCCTGCATCCTGGTGGGTATCTTCATCAACAGTAGTGTGCCCATCTTCTTGGAGCTGTTCATTGAGACGGTTTACCCTGTACCTGAGGGCATCACCTGTGGAGTGGTCACCTTCCTCAGCAACCTCTTCACTGGACTTTTGCTGTTTTTCCTCACCTTTTACTTTACAGGTACCTTGATATTTTTAACTCTTTAAATGCAAGGTTTACAGCAAGGAAAACAAAGCTTTCACTCAGCCTAAATAAACACATGGCAGAGATATGGACGGTCAGTGTCATTGTCCTTGTCCTGAATGATGATTAACTTTCAGTGCAAAGCTCTTCGCATGAAAAAAAGTGCAGGGAGATTGACTTGTCTGCCCTGTCTTGCTCTGTAAATACAAGCTTCCAGCTGAATATTGATGAGTCACTTTGTGACAGGTTTCTTTGGAATGACAGGTAGTCCGTGATAGTTTTATTCTAGCTCTTGTATTGGTGGACACCGTTTGTCAGGTTAACACAAAGGCTGTATGTGTTTTTCCATTCAAAAAACAGCATTTTGTTATATGGTGTGCCTACATAGCACATACATGACATTTATACACATGACATATATACATGTAGATAACATAACAATGATTTCAATTATTGTTATTTATTAATGGTGTTCAGCATTCACTAAGACATTCACCAAGTATGGACGAATCTCCCATATCTTTTCCAGGAAATGTCCAGTTCACATTTCACCCCGAAAAATAAATTAAAATTAAATCTTATTTTGCATAAAGAAAATGCAATTTACTGTCAGAAGTTTTTACACTTGTGATTTTCTTTTTTCAGTAAAATTAAGCACATTTATTCTTCATAATTTTATTCACATTTTTTTTTTCAAAGTTAAAGTCAATTTGTTATTAATTCAGTTTAAGGTAGTGGTACAAATACTACTAAGATGTATAAATAAATAATATTAATTATATTAGAATATAAATATTTATAGTATTGTATTATTAAAATATACAAAGTAATATAAAGATATATCTTGTTAAAGTCTGTTTTTATGCATTTGGGGATTTGATTTTCCTGAAAATAATATCATAATATTAAGTCATAATAGCATTTTATTTGCTTTTTGATTTTGATTTGTGGGGTAAAAACAGACTTACGATACAATAAAAGGCCAATAAAACTGGTGAAAATCACACAGGCATACATTAAAGGAGTGATGTGAGCCATACATGGGGACCAGAATATGATATAGTTGTTTTTCTTTTTTTTAAATTTACTGGAACCAGTAAGCAACCACCTAGCCAACATTAAGAACATCCCAGAAACCAAATAGAGCATCTCTGAAACTTCATAGCCATGTCTAGGAAACCACCCACAACACGTGGTGCTTGCCTGTGAAAAACTTACCACCCCCATTTTCTTTAGAAATTAGCACTGCTGTCAACCTCTGTTCACACTGACTGACCACTGTCAAATCCAGATGTCCGCTGTGATACTTAGCTCCCCATTCTGTCAGCGGCCTTGAGTGACCGGCTGACAGGTCTCTGTTTTGATGAGCAGTTAGGTTGCTGGACGGCTCCCAGGTGTCAAGAAAGGCTGCGAAAACTCCTCAGTCTTCCTGCTGATCCCTTGGAGAAGATTAAACTGAGATGAGTGAGCTTAACTGGCTCATCCTTTCAAATCTGATCGGGTTATCGGTTCCAAATGAAGCCATGAGATTCGTTCTGCTTTTGTGTTGCTGTCAGTGCCGCAGTTGCCCGCCAACACCGTGCCATGGCTGAAAATAATGTTGGAACAATTAGGTCTCTATATATAGATGGTTATTGCGTTGGCATTGCTATTGAGTTTTGGACGCTTTCTGTTTAGCCCAAGCGGTGTGTAGGTGCTGAAGAGATGATGGATGGATTTCTGTTTGTTTCATCAGAACCATCCTGCAACCTCTCGCTGTTTCCACTGGCAGAAAGCCCTTCTAGACATAATAAGCTCTCTGTTAGCTAAACTGCACAAAGTCCTCCTTAAAGGTGCAGTTCCACTTGAAATTTGACACATAGTTAAATGAATAGAACTTTAGACAGATGTTTAAAATGATGTGCATGTGCATTTGATGAAAGCTCTAGTAATATCACCCTTGCACATTGATGTAACATTTATTCTGTTGTTTTCATTGGCATTTTTCATATTCTTCATAGGATATTTCTTTGAAGTAATGGCCCAACTGTAAAGGCTGATTTATACTTCTGCGTCAGACCTACGCCGGAGCCTCTACGCTATAGACTACGCGTTGGTTTTCATTTATACTTCTGCGTCGTTGTCCGCGTTGACGTGCAATTACACATGCAGAGGGAGCATGTGAAAGCCGGGGAGCGGTTCTAGCAGACCAATCACAGCGCTTGCAGTACGCGTAGAACTGACGCGTTGTTACATTTTTGGAGAGGTGCACGTCAGGGTACGCCGAAGGGTACGCGCGCTACACACAGCCTACGACGTAGCTACGGCGTGAGTTCGACGCAGAAGTATTAATTGGGCTTAAAAGTGTTGGTAACGCTTCCTTTTACAGTCCTGTTACCCATGTACTTACTATGTACTTATTATAGTAATTATAATTACTGGGTAATAACTAGGTACTAACCCTGAACCTACCCCTAAACCTACCCCTAACCCATGTACTTACCTTATATTAGCCAGTACTTTCTAGGTAAGTACACTGTAAGTACATGTAAGTACTGTACTGTAAAAGGAAGCGTTACCAAAGTGTTGCCATCTAGTGGACCCACCAGTTCTAGACATTCTACTCAAAATTTACTGAAAGTTAAATTTGGATGCTGGAATTTTTACACTGTACAAGACGTAGTGACGTAAAACGTAAAACCGAAGCATATATTCGGCTTAAAGGCACTGTTACACTGCCGTTAAAAAGTTTGGGGTCAGTAAGATTTTATTTTTTCTGAAAGAAATTAATACTTTTATTATGCAAGGATGCATTAAATTAAATATATTTCTGTTTTAAATAAATGCTGTTCTTTTGAACTTCCTATTCATCCTGAATAAAAAAGCTTCTCAGTTTACACAAAAGTATTAAGTAGCACAACTGTTTTCGACATGGATAATAATGAGAAATGTTTCTTGAGCACCAAATCAGCAAATTAGAATGATTTCTGAAGGATCATGTGACGCTGAAGACTGAAGTAATGATGCTGAAAATTCCGCTTTGCATCACAGGAATAAATTCCATTTTAAAATGTATTAAAACAGAACGTCTGGCCGCTGGTGGGCATCCGTTGGGCTAGTGTTTGTGGTGTGTTCCACATACATCTCTATTTGGGCCCTCGTCGGTGACAGTTCAGCCGATTCAGCATCAGCAATTGGCGTGAGAGAGATCCTCTGATTGGCTGTTCAGTTTAGTGGATAAGTGCATGAGAATAAAAGCGAAAGTGATGACAGCGAGCGAAGAAGTTGAGACGGCACAGACAGAAGGCTGTTCTAATTTTATATCATCTTACCTGAGCATTCCAATAAGCATGTATTTTTATAACAATATGAGCCGCCTACTGCATGGAATAAAGAAAGTGATCAACATGATGGTATTCAAAATGGTAAGCAAGCGGCCAGACACAGCTGATGCGAGGCGACAACAAAAGTCGACTTTTTTCGCCGCTATTTCTTTGAAGACGGCTTGGTGTGTCACGACCTTCAGAAGAAGCTTGAGTCCTGACAGAGTTCTGTTGTTTACCTCGTTGTAATTACCCTGTTTCTTTTGATTTCATTGCTAATATACACTCACCGGCCACTTTATTAGGTACCCCATGCTAGTAACGGGTTGGACCCCCTTTTGCCTTCAGAACTGCCTCAATTCTTCGTGGCATAGATTCAACAAGGTGCTGGAAGCATTCCTCAGGGAGTTTGGTCCATATTGACATGATGGCATCACACAGTTGCCGCAGATTTGTCGGCTGCACATCCATGATGCGAATCTCCCGTTCCACCACATCCCAAAGATGCTCTATTGGGTTGAGATCTGGTGACTGTGGAGGCCATTTTAGTACAGTGAACTCATTGTCATGTTCAAGAAACCAATTTGAAATGATTAGAGCTTTGTGACATGGTGGAAGTAGCCATCAGAGGATGGGTACATGGTGGCCATAAAGGGATGGACATGGTCAGAAACAATGCTCAGGTAGGCCGTGGCATTTAAACGATGCCCAATTGGCACTAAGGGGCCTAAAGTGTGCCAGGAAAACATCCCCCACACCATTACACCACCACCACCAGCCTGCACAGTGGTAACAAGGCATGATGGTTCCATGTTCTCATTCTGTTTACGCCAAATTCTGACTCTAACATCTGAATGTCTCAACAGAAATCGAGACTCATCAGACCAGGCAACATTTTTCCAGTCTTCAACTGTTCAATTTTGGTGAGCTCTTGCAAATTGTAGCCTCTTTTTCCTATTTGTAGTGGAGATGAGTGGTACCCGGTGGAGTCTTCTGCTGTTGTAGCCCATCCGCCTCAAGGTTGTGCGTGTTGTGGCTTCACAAATGCTTTGCTGCATACCTCGGTTGTAACGAGTGGTTATTTCAGTCACTGTTGCCCTTCTATCAGCTCGAACCAGTCTGGCCATTCTCCTCTGACCTCTGGCATCAACAAGGCATTTCCGCCCACAGAACTGCCGCTCACTGGATGTTTTTTCTTTTTCGGACCATTCTCTGTAAACCCTAGAGATGGTTGTGCGTGAAAATCCCAGTAGATTAGCAGTTTCTGAAATACTCAGACCAGCCCTTCTGGCACCAACAATCATGCCACGTTCAAAGTCACTCAAATCAACTTTCTTCCCCATACTGATGCTCGGTTTGAACTGCAGGAGATTGTCTTGACCATGTCTACATGCCTAAATGCACTGAGTTGCCGCCATGTGATTGGCTGCTTAGAAATTAAGTGTTAACGAGCAGTTGGACAGGTGTACCTAATAAAGTGGCCGGTGAGTGTAGATCTGAATTATTGTGTAGATTGGTTACCATTGTGCATTGAAAATTGCCCGTTTCCTCTTATATTGAGCCTGCCTCGACTTTCTTTTATTTTCCAGATCCTCTTTTTTTCAGCCACCCAAGGTTGTATTGATGTGCTTTTAAGAATAGCACCTGCCTGTGACAGATGATACATTCACAAATTTCTTACACTTTCTTTGTGTTTACTTTAAAATGAAATGAAAGGGATGTGCTTCATTGAGTGACTGTTGCTGTCCTTCCCAGCTGGCCATTTAAATTGGCAAGGTTGGTTCATTCACCCTTAAATCCGAAAGCTGTGAATAGCTGGTAAAGATTGAACATTCAGCCTTTTTTGATTGTGACTTTGTAAAGGACATGTCACCTACTGTTTGAGGGTGGCCCGTCTGTCAAATGGCAATAATAAAATTAAGGGTCCAGTAACCTTTTGTAGAGACCCAGAGTGTGTACTTCCTGATAGGTTATGCCTGCTCTAAACTCTTTTTGCAGCATTCGATTTAGCACGTTCAATTGCCTGTGAAGGTAAACCTTCAGCAAAATCAAGTTTCCTAGAGCTTTTCACACCATGCTTAAACCGGAGTTGAAGCTGAGTATATTTCCTAGGGATGAAATATTTATGTTATAATGCACATATACTGTACTATACCGTATATTTTTGCATATGTATTAATTGTGCATGCTAATTTCCTCATTTTAGTTTTAGACATTGTCACTTAAAGTTAATTTTTAAAAACAGTAATTTAATTGTAATTGTAATCTCTGCACACAAAAAAATGTGTGTATGCATGTACTGTATATATGTATGTGTTACATATATGTTTACCATTTATTAATATAATTGTATTTATTCTATAATATTAATTATAATTTATTTTAATTAGTTTTTGTTTCATTTAATTTGTCTTATTTTTTTATATATAATTTTTCCTCTTTTTTAACACAATGTATATTTAGAATCACATGTGTATAACAAATCAAACTCAGAACTGCAAAATATAATTCTGGTTTAATCTTGTAAGGAGAAAACAGAGCCTACAAACTGTCAGTCATCCTCTCTTGATTCTGCTTGGGGCCAGAGCAAGACATTAAACTGATCTGAAATATGCCATCAGTCTGCCAGCTGAATGGGGAGCGATTAAGAATAATTACAGCAATAAGAGGACCATCTCAGACACCCCAGCTCGCTTGACAGGAAGTGAGGAGCCCCGTGGGTGAGTGAGACGACATTGGGCCGCCCGGTCACGACGCGAGACAGCGGCTGTAGGATGTTTCCTCGCATCCCTCCCTGCTTGTCCTCGCTTTTGTCCCAGCGTTCCGCGTGTAAGAGATTTTGAGTGTCACGGTGAGTGGCCTGTTTACGCTGTCATTCCACCGTGGCCTTTTCAGCACATTACAGCCCATGAGACGATGGCAGGAAAGAGACAGGCTAAATTGCACCCTTAATAACAACATCTCTGCATTCTGCTGTCAGGTATTAAGAGGAGGGAAATGCGACATAACAGTTTGACTGCAGTGTAAACTGACAGACAGGATATAATTGCTGTGCTCCTATTATTGCGAGAGAAGGAGGGAGAAATCGAATCCTTTAAACCAACTTCTTTTGTATTCTCCATAGCGGCGCTGCCTTAGGGAAAGGTTGGGCCGCTCTGTCCAAAGTTCTGCCTTCCATTAGCGCTGGAAGGGTGACTGTTGACGACTCGCGGATTTTTGGGGGGCGTCTGATTGGATTACCTGAGCCGAGCCGAGCCGCTCTCCTCATTAACATGCGCTGCAGACATCCTGCCTGGTGATGCTACCTCTCTCTTTTAAATTGATGAGGCTGGGGCGGGCGTGCAGCACAGACATAATAGCCAGATAAACACAACTCCATTAACCCGCCGCTACACCAAGCGCAGCTGAAGGGCTAGTAAGGCCTGATTAATGAGGGGGACTTTTGGAAAGAATCCCCGCTTCCCATTTCTTCGAGTCGTCATGGCTCTATCGTCCGCCGTACCTGGTTGTGTTGACTGTGCTGCATGGCTAAATCATATCATTTATCCCAAATGGGCTCAGCAGCTGACCCAGCATGCATTTCACCTTCTGCCATCGATTGCAGCTCTCACTTGAGGGGCAATTGATCAACCTGTTATCTGGATACGGGACGCCCTGAAATTGAAATCCACTTCTCTTATTAAATTAAGTTGCGCTCTTTCCTTTGTCCTCGAGGGTCTGTGTGTTTGACCTGGTTTATGTTATATTCAACCCAGCGCTCTATCAGAGCCACAGCAGCTGGTGTGAGGCTTTCATCTATTGAATCGCACACTGCAGTATATGTACTCTGAATGTGTTTGCACAGCTCTCGCATGCAGTTTTCAGTGTTGTCCTTTAAAAAGTATCTTCGTATTCATGTGCAGCGCGTGTGAAATGATTCAATTGCTGGTTTAAACTTCAACCTTGTGCAAAACCTCTCGTAACTTTAACTGTCCAATGAAAGGAATAGAGCGGCTGTGGGAACCTGCTGTGTGTGTCTGCTATCTCTCACAGTCTGATGTATTTCAAACAATTATTAGTATATTTTGTTTTTCTATTTGCCTTTGATTATTGGAGCATGACCATGTATATGGTTTGGTCAGAAGGAAATGAAGGGCTGTGATATCTGTTTTTATGTTCAAAGTTTGTAAGTGCCAACTGCATTTAGTCAATGTGAATTGTTGTTTGTAACCACTTGCAGCTCTGTAATGTAGTGAAATGGGCCATTATATATATATATATATATATATATATAAACTTTATTAGAAGACTTTATTTTATCCATCACGAGTTTATGGGATTTTGAAAAACAGTACCTAAATAGCTATTTGGCTATTGAAGAAAAAAACCAACACATTTACATGAATTTACCTTATACGTAAGGCATGGTCACATGGCAAAAAGGTCTATTTCCACTGTTAATAATGTAATGATGCACTAAGCACTGCTCACACAGAAGTCACTTCCAAGTAGCATTCAATTGGTCAATGCGGCAAATTCTTTTAAAAAAAAATGTTTCACGCCTGCTCAAAATTCTGAATGTGTGGACTCCTATTGAAATGACTGGATTTTGCCTTTAGAAAAGAAATGTAATGCATGCTAAGCTGTAAAAAAAAAAAATCTGCATTATTTTCTTGTACCTTATAGGCCAAGTTAGCCTGGTTAAAACCCGACCATTCTCAGTTGTAGCTGAGTTATGGTCTGTCAAAGCGTCATAGACAAATCATTTCCAGAGGGGCGTCACCAATGGACGTCGCGGATAGACCTAAAACCAATCAGAGCGATGAAGGAGATGACGTATGCAGAGCGGCAGAAACATCTCCAAATATTGTTCTTTGCTCGGTTTTTAACAAAATGGAAACGTTCAAATCGCTTAAAACAGACGCGATAGCTGATTCGAACATGTGATGTTCGACGGCGGCATCCATCTTTGTAATGTAGGCTACAAAATCTGCTTCAAAATCCCAGCGCTTTCGTCATCGTGTAAAGCCCGCCCCAACGTTTCTGATTGGTGCCTCGATTTCGACGGATTGGAAATGGGCTTGAATGAGCTCTTTGCCAGACTAACTTTCAGAGCAAATCTAAATTTGCCGGAAGTTGTCTGGGTTTTCCCAGGCTAAGGCCAAGTAGGCTTGCATTGTTATTTTTGTATGTTACTGTGTTTATAAAATTATGATAAACATTCTATCTTTCGGTGAAGTATGGTATTCGGTGCTCTAAATGCTGTCATCACTAACCACAGTCATCCTTGGATGCTAGTTTTTTTTTTAAGGTGCTACTAAATATCTTTTTTTAGGTACTAAAAAAAGAAATAAAAAAACACATTTACATTTGTTAACTTACTTGATACTTACAGACATGAAGAAAATATGCCTAGAATAGTTGTATTTAATGAATGCCGTGCTGTGGGGGGAAAAGATTGTAAAAAAATGTTGCTTTTATTTATTTATTTCGATTAGTAATGCGAAAAAGAAACGCTATTTCCAGAAGTCTGATAAACTCATGTCTGTTCTATCATGCATTGATGTACAGTACGTGGTATCCAGCGCTCTTCACACTATCATCGCTAACCTCAGTCAACCTTGCTATTTTGTTTTTCAGAGCTGTCCTGGTTGAACTGGTGTTTGACAGGATCCTGCATCTTCAGTCTCCTGCTCCTCCTTTTCTTCAGGGAATCGTACGACCGCCTCTATTTGGACGTCTTTGTCTCCGTCTGAGCACACCGAGTGAGCTTTTTCCCGCAGAAGAAGACTGAAGGCTTGTCTTTTAATGGACAATGTATTCCAGCAGAGTGCACAGAAAGGACACACAGCATGTTGCTCACTTTAATGGATCAGTGCTTTTTTTTTTTTGAAAGATGTTGTAATTGTGAAATATATGATCAGCAGTGATGGCAGTGCATTGTGTAAGCATCATAACTAACAGTAGGAACTTAGACTTGACTAAGGAGGAAAGAAATGTAGATACTGACCTTGACATTTTGCCTTCTGAATGCATCCCTTTTTATATATTTTATTTTACCCTTTCGTTTTTTTACGATCAATGGAAAGGATGTGTTTATATACTGTCACGATATAAGGGACATTTATTGCGTAGAGATGCAAGCACAAGCGGATCTTCTCGTGGATTTGGCAGTGCCCCATGGTGATGACTCCTCTAGTGCTCTCACCACATCTAATGGGAGTGTAATGGATAATTATAGACAAGCTCAATTAGCCGCCTGGCGGGAGATATGGCCGTCTGTGGACCGGGGACCTCTTAGAGCTGTAGTGTCACTTGTAAATAGCCTGTGGGATCCAAGCTTTAATTGACCTGTGATAGGTCTGTCAATAAGCGGCATTTGCCATGGTCCTCAAGTCTTCTCGTTTTCCTTATCAGCCCATATTATGCAAAGGATTATTCACTCCACTGTGGGGTTTAACTAATCGTTTTACAGCGATTGGTCCGATTCTGTGTCATGTTACCTCAAGATGTCTGAAGTTATGGTTTATGAGATGAGAGATCTATATTCATGTTAAGGTAGCCATTTGTGTTCATCTCTAGCTGTAGCATGCGCACAGTGGGTGTCTGTTGCACAAGCCTTTGAGCCTTTTTACAGAATTGTTTGCAATTGATTATGTTTTAAGAGCATTTAAATGTAATTTATTATCTCATTTTAGGGATTAATTCACTAATATTGACTATAAGGGATTGTTAGCGTTTTAACATGGCATTACTGACTGCTGGAACAGTAAAACACCAGCAACAACAGCCATGTTCGGTAGCCTTTCGTGATTTGTGGCACAACCTCATGCATCAACGAGGGCAATATTCCCTCTCCCTGACCTATGACCCGTGAACTCACTGGTCTGTTCTCTCCTGCATTTTTCAGCATCACCATAAAAATGGAGCCCATCTGCTTCATCGCATTAGTTGCGTGCAACTTTCCTGTGAAAGGTGAAATTTGGTGGCCTGAGACTTGGATTTAGGATTGACTTCAGTGGAACTGATTTGACGGTTATCGGTGGAAAGGAAAAGCATTTCATGGACATGCTGAATTCTTTCAGCCCTTACATTTCCACAGCTTTGCAACTGAGAACTTTGGACACACAGTTCGGTTCTCCTCTGGGAAAAGCCTGCTTGCGAATCACTTTCCGTGTTTCTCTGTACAGAACGGTTCTCTCTTTTACCTGTGAACATGCCTTAATTAACAGTAATCTTTGTTCTGTCCTCCTCTCCACTGTGATGTGCGTGCCATGCTGCAGTCGGTGCTTGTGCTCTGTTCTGTCACTGTAATGTTAATGATAAGTGGCACAGGAGGGGTGTACGTGTTCCTGTCCGTGTGCAAATACATGTCAAAGATTTTTAGCACCTTATTAAAAAGATGTTTTTGAAATGGAATCGTGTCTTAGTCTCCTCTCTGTCATCGAGATGTTGACCTGGCTTCTATGTAATGAGAAAGCGTGAAAATAAGTTATAAAACAAATATTTCTGACTCTAAATTATGATTGGATGAGCCATGTACAAAGGCGTTTTAAAATACTGCAACGATTGAAATGTTGGCCGTGTTAACCACTCATTACAGAATGCTGCCTTCCTTAGAGGAAACAACTTTTTGTTTCTACTGAACGTGTCATCATGGGCATCTATATGTATGAGGTCATATTTTTGGATTTTGCAGACGCTTCACAATGCCCCACACCCTTCAAAGCATGAGATCATAGATGACACCAGGATTGAGAGGGCGTACAGCAAGTATGTGTTGTTTAGCATATTGTGCGTTACACCAGCCAAAAAACCTGTGGTTTGCATGCAAGCCTATAGATTATTGTTCTCATCTGATAAACTTTCTGTATGAATTTTGCCAGTGTTCATTTTTCATAATAAAAATTTTGATTAACAGTTTATTTTCATGGAACTAACAGTTTAAAAGTCATGTTTAACTTGAATAGGCTTGTATGAGTTCCTTTTAGGCTTTAAAAACCTTGACAATAATATTTAAAATATAATAAATATATTGGATATATATTACAAAAACGAAAGTAAATATTATTTTAATATTTATAGATATAAAAAATTACTCTATTGTTGGTCAACTTTCCATTCGTGTTGTGAATAATAATAATACAACATAACATAATATATAATTATGTGTATAAATGTGCAATTATAAATTTATTTAATATTACACTTCACTTTGTAGTTTGTGTATATATTCATTATTGTCTCCACAAATATAAAATGAGCCATTTATCTCCGTCACTGTATTTTTAGGTTTGTGTGAAACTAACAACAATTTGCAAGTATGTGAACGCTAAATAAAATTGCTTTGCATTCATCCTTGTTTATGCTTTCGCATTAAAATCGGTCTGGTGGTTTTTATGTGGATTAATGATCCTTAGAGACACGGAAACAGTGAATACCAAGTTTAAAGGTACCAAGCCCCCAACCCCCCTCCTTTTTTTTATTTAAAAAAACGTATTACTTTTTCACCCTTTCCGCTTTCAAAGAATGAAGTATTGAAGTTTCTTAAGTTCTTTTTTGTTTCACAGCACTGCTGTCAGAGCATTGAAAGAACATTGATCCCGTTCTTCATCCCACCATAGCTGAATACCAAAAAGGATCATTTAAGCTGCTAGCTTGTCACGTCAAATTTTCAGCACATAAAAAAAGCCTCCGATTCAAGTGTTACTTTTCAGTGTTGACAACAGCACCAACAGGCAACCTGGGAAAAGATTGTCTTAAACAGGTGTTTTCATTCAGTGACAAGCAATTTCATAAAATCCATTTTGGCTTTGTTCCCCTCCCCCCTCCATCCTCCATGCGCTCTGTTCCGCCATGGTTCCTGTTCTTCAGCACATATCGCACACTCTGTTGTAAACAGTGCTCACTGTCAATCTAGGTGACACTTTATAGCCATTGATTTGTTTTCTGTTGCAGCTTTCAGTCCTCACATGCTCTGTATGCCCTTTCATGTTTCCGGCAAGACGTTTCCCAGCGGACTTCTTCTGCGACAGATGAACAGAACCCTTGTCTTATGAAAAATAGAAAACAAAAATATAGGGTGGTTGCATTAGGTTTCACCAGTTACAGTTGTGCTTCGCCTATATGTTTACACACCCCTTGCAGAAACTATACAATTCTTATATTTAGCCTGTTTAGCATGAAATGAATTTACACAAATTAACATGTTCAAAAGTTGAATGAATGAGGCATTTATAGTGCTTTACTGTGTATGCTACTATATACACCCAAAGTGCTTATTACAATCATAAAGAGGGTCTCTCCTCACCCATCACCAGTGAGCAGCATCCACATGGATGGAGAAGTTTAAAATTGTTTTTTAATATGGAATATTAAAAGTAATGTAAGTAACTTTTTTAAATGATCTAACTTTTAATGTTCACATTTGACAATAAAACAGGTGAAAAAAAAATCAATGAAAATTGAAGGATGGAACAGAATATCAGACAGATTTGTGCAAGTAATGGGACAAAACGTCCTCGCAACCGCATAGCAAAGTGTGAAAACACTCATCTGCATAACATGCCTTGACTTTAGCACGGACAAGTAGCGTCTACCACTTTTTTTCTTCTTCAAAACAAATCCATAAATGTTGACTGTTTTGTATTAGCTACACAGCTCGCTGCCTGGAACACAGTGAGAGCTCTGTATTAATCCGAATCTTTTCTTGGTCACATTTGTCAAATTGTCAGTTGTCAAGGCAATTGTAATTTTGTTTAATGTAGCCTAATGTTTATACTTTATTTCAGCTTTTATTTTAATTTACTTTTTATTTGTCAACATTAATGTAGCCTAACGCATTAATTAAAAATACTTAACACTTTAAAATTATTTAACTCAAATAACGCAAATAAATTACTGAAGCAAGTGAAATTGCGTCATCCTCGTTATCTATTGTTATCACACTGAGCTTCTACAATGCCGCAACCCAGGCGAACTCTAACCCTTTAACCAGATTTCACTTCTTTGTTTGTCATCAGATCTTTTTAAGCCGCTAAACTCCGGGAAAGTTTCCAGTCTAATGAATGATCCAATAAGCGAATTCATTCACACGATCAGTTCAAAACAGTGCCAATGTAAAGAAAGCCCATTATATTGATGCGCTAACAAACCATGTATGTGCACTCTCAACGCACTGATGATCATCACACATTGTATTTATGCACCGACACTTTTCAGTACATTCACGTTGTTTCCACACACGTTCGGGATAATGTTTTTATCTGTCATGTGTATGTTGCTGTGTTTAGTAATTCTGAATGGATCCTTGAACAGTACTAAGAATATGCAGTCAGGTTTATGCGGTTGGTTTAGGTTTTTTTGGCATCTCCTGTTCGGTATCGCAACTTGACTTGTATAAAAGGTAAACAAGCTCTTTGCTGTTGCACTGTACTGCTGCACTATACATTGTGAATTCTGAAAAGTTTGTTTTTTTTCTGTTTTTTTCTTTTTCTTTGGTGTGCATACATTTATGAATTATATGGACCTCTATGTCATTTGGTGTCCTTTTGGAGTCTCCACACTTAAATTTACCTTAAAAGAAGCTTGCAGAATTTATTTTTTGTGTAAGATTCATCTAATGGTTTACTTTGCTGGATATGGCAAACAATGATAAAATGTGTTAAACAAGATTCAAACACGAATTCTGTTCTGTTCTGTTCTGTTTGTTTGTTTATTTAGGAAGCATGATTAAAAGAACAGAACATTGATCGATGTCCTGTACAATCATAGTTAAAGCTGCAGTCCGTAGTTTTTCCTCTTTGTCGCCATCTCTGTTCGAAATCTGCAATTGCAGTTATTCGCGGAATTATCAACTTTACGTGAGTTGTGCCTCGGCACGGCACAGCGCGGATGAATCCAATGTTTTGAGGAGAATGTGCGGCTGTCGGTCGCCGCGCCGGTGTGCATACTGTCATTCGGAATCACAGATTCTACTTTTTGGAAGTATGACCAACATGAGACCTTTCACCGGTAAATGTCATCTGAACAAGCAAGTAACATCCACTTTTGTTCTGACCAACTAAGGGAAAAAAAGCATTGCAGTAAATCGCGCTGATTAAATCTAACGATCGCTTATCATATCACGTCAAACCGTGCAAATTATACTTTGTTGTCAAATTGTTAATGTTAACAACATCAGCATTGCGTGACTACATTTAATGCCCTTCCGATATGTATCCTTGTTTTCGCATGGGTCCGGTTGCAGTCTCTTTTTTTCTGTAGTCACTCCGAAGTCCCAACGAAGTCTTTTGCATTTTACAGCGGGTGAATCTCTAGTTGTCACTGGTGATTGTCATTTGAACCTTTCTGGATCCGCCATCAAATTGATAAGTTTAATTATATCAAGTGCTGTGAGAAAAGGCTATAAATCTCCACCTCCAGCATCCTCACACGCAATATAGCCTACTAGCCGAGACTCCTCCTTTATGTGTACAGATGTGACGTAATGACGCAAAGACATGCTCGAATCTCCCGCGGAAATCCACCAGTACCACTGGAATTAAAAACATTATTACAAGCTTACCGTTTTGAATCGAGCTACGGCAAGCAGATAGTTTTGAACACTGGCTGGTTATGTACTTGCCCAAAAAAATTATTTTGGATAATTTTTAACCCAAAAAAGTTACGGAATGCAGCTTTAAATACAATTATAAAAATAAGACATAAATGTAACAGCAAAAAACATCATAACAAAATTATGCATACAAGCAATAGTGGAAATACCAAATAAAGATGATAAAAAAAACAAATAACCAAAAATGTAATTGTTTAGAAAAAAATGTAAGTGACTGTTTTTGAGAAGCTGTAGAGATTTCTCAGTGCATTGCAGTGACTTTAAGGATACATGATTGCAGTAAGCACCAGATGGCTGGCAGGGATGTGCGCAACATGGTCACAGAGGCATTACCAGCCATCTCGCTCCAGCCCTGACTGTGATAGCCTGCTGAATAAGAAGCTAGGCATGGAACCCGCACTTCCAGCAAATCAATAGCAAAGTCCAACAAAACATAATGGAGCTTGATGATAATCAGTGAGCATGTTTGGATGGGGACTCTACTTGGCTGAATCTCATCAAGGTGAGTCACTTTCGTTCCAAGACCAGACGGGAGATGGAACGAGCAGACGGCATGTTTGGATTCAGTTGTGCGGCTCTAATGTGCGGAGACGTGGCTAAACCAAAGCAGCATGTCTCGAGACTTCAAGCAATTAAGAGATCCAGGCAAGCGGAAACGCAGCGGTCATGAGAGTGACGGACTCTTTGATCATACACTCATCTCATTTTAATCCCACAACACCTCTGCTCTGACGGCCATGCTCTACTAATGAAGGAAGCTGAATAGCACATATATATATATATATATGAATAGCATAATCTG